TTGTACTCATGAACCAAATCAATCAAGACTTCTCAGCTAGGGTCTCTCATAAACCGCATCAGCGACGCAGATGACAGAAGTTGTGTTTATGGTTAATTGTTTCTCGGGATTGTCGTGCGAGCCACAAGTTCTGCGGTACTGTACGAGCTGAGATTCGTCGCATGTCGTTCCTTGACGGTACTCTTTCGCTTGCATAATCACGACATACAAACTGCGTATTTGTCTCGTGCTCGCCTACCTCAATCTTGACATACAAACGGTGTGTTGTCTCGGCTTGACGCCAGTGTAATGATCTTGGCATGCGTGATGACTGGCTCAAGATGAACGTGGGCCTTTGACGTAACAACGTGATCGGGTACGTCAGTTCTTAATGCCAATATCGCGGTTGTTTGTTATGACAGTTCGGACGGACAGCATTGGGCGGAACATTCTCTGTTCAATGACGGCAACGTGCGTAAGTTAAGGGGACAGCATTGATTGGAAGATTCTTTGTTCGATGGCGGCGACGTGCATAATTTAGAGAAACAGCATTGAGCGGAAGGTTCTTTGCTCGATGGCAGCGACGTGAATAGTTTGTACGACTGACCTCATGCAGCCTCCTCTTCTGTTAGCTTCGACCCCGCATACTCACTCACCCAGACGAGTCAAGCGGTCACTTTTTCAATTCATAATGAAGTCAAAAGCCTTTGCGACTCACCGACACAGCTAACATGTTCGAACGGCTGTAGCTGCCAATCGGTTGCAGACTGCCAATGCAGTGACCTGATGAAATCGCACATTTTGTTACTACTACTGTGGCCTCCGTGGTTTCGTTCAATGCGCGACCGTGGCTCTCATGTACATGTCATCATCGTTTTGGACGCTGCCACTGCCGCCACATCCACGAATATCGATGAGTCAGAAGTTGACCGGTGGAGTTGATTATTGTTTGGTTCTTCCTTCTGGTCTCCACCGCCTGGAGCGAGACGTTTATCCAGGTCGTTCTATCTACTTTTTTTCCATGGGGATCGCGAGGAATCCGAGGGCGCGGTGGGTCTGGATCCGTCATTGTTACGATGCACCCCAAGTCTCACGCGGCATTCCTTATCTCAATTACGAGCATGGCCTACGGTCGAGCATCAACTACAAAAAACTATGCAGAAAAGCAAGGTCTCTTGCATATTCTAAGGTCTGTTACATGGGTTACACCAGACGAAGGCGAACAATTACACCCCCCACATGACATTGGAGATAGCGCCCTCGTACGTTCCCAACTCCGATCCCATCACTCACCACGACAAGCTCGCTTAACGTTACTCTTCCGGAAGGCACGAGAGTGAGCCGATGATATTGCGGTCGTCAGCTAGGGGCCTCACTACCACACTTATAGCAAGATGGCTGATCGACTGGCCAATTTTGCGATGGATTCCTGTACTCCGGTTCAAGTGCACCTCCGTCGGATCGCCAGGTCGTCAAGGAGGTTGCGACATTCCTCGACTCTGACGTTACTCACTGGCTCGAGAATTTTTACCACGAGCTGTCCGTTCCTTGGGGTCCCGCGGCGACCGCGAAGGATATAGCCATCTCAAGACTACAACTCGCACAGCGTACTGCAGCTGTCCGAGGGCAAACACTTACTTGAGATATACACCTAATTGTCTGCGCGGTATCTAGTTGCTAGCAGACCGGATGTAGCATGTCGTTTGCGTGCCTGAATAAACGTCACCTTCCCACTCACTGATTATACTTTGGCTATCCTTATTCGGCCAAGATGACGAGACACAAGCCTTCCTGGTTCTAGAAACGTCGCACAAGTAGAATCAAAACTATGGGTTTACGATAACGTGTTGTTGTATCTCAAGGTCCCATCTCGTATCGAGAATGCTCCATGCAAGGCATTGACAGAGAGTTAAAATTCAAGTTATCACGCGCAAGCTTTCCATGCCCGCATTGATCTTTCGCAGAAAAGTCAGGGCGACAACAGTGTATAGGATAGTGGAATGCCAGTGTAAGTCGCACATTATCGGCCATACTGTCAGCGATCACACTAAAATGGTACCAGAAATTTGTTGCGATAACTCCGTGGTGTCGGTGAGGCTTATAGAAAACGCACGAGAGTAGTTTAAATGTGTGTAGGCCTGTGAAGCACGCGTGGAGTGAACGTGATCTACCGGCAGCAAAGTCACGTATGTGAATGGCCACCCCGCGTTAGGTCGAAAGTGGGCTAGCAAGCACAATTTTCGGAGATTGGAGTCGCGAGTCGACAACCCACCGCGTTATCCGAGTCAAAAACTCAATAGCTGCCAGAGGAGGTAGAGGTTGCAGACACAAGATGCAGTACGATGAGAGCGTCTGTTTTGACGATGTAGGTGACGCAGACATTTTCCGGGACAGGCACCGACTCGTTTCTGGATTCATAGCGTCTGTCAGGATGTTATTTGCTACATGACCTGCCGAAGATCGGCTTGCAATCAAGTAGCTGATGCCAGCGCCGTATTCACATGTCGAAAGCCAAACGCTACGGTAATCTTCTGCATGACTGCAATCTTCACTACACCTGGAGAACTGTAGCACACCTTCGTGTCTGTGCTTTCACCACAAGCTGCAGTGACGGTCATTCCAATCTTCACGCGTTTGACCCCGAGAGATCGAGACGTTTCTCGGAGACGCACAAAAGAGTAAGAACAACGCTATCTCGTTGTATGCCAACACATCAACCTCTTTGTCAGAACGAGTTTCCAGTACAACGAAAGCGATAGGACGACATTCGGATGCAATTGCATTCCAAGTGTACGTACTATCGTGCTGACAGCAGGAATGGTCGTCAAAAGCAGCAAACGAGTGCTTCAATCAGCGTCGATGGTGTACACGGCAAGTATCTACAAAGACCCTCCAGGAGCACCACCCAATGCTAGCAAGTAATTGAGCTTTGTGTCTAGGAATATGCGTTCTGACTCCAGCCAATTTCATCAACCTTCGAGCTGGCCACCGCAGCTGCGACCCCATTATCAAGCGTCGTTGTCATGACTAGATAGAAAATGTATTATATGACCTGCCATCTGACAATCCACAGTCCTTTCGTCCTCGCGAACATGCGTCGTGTAAGAACAATCGACTGGGCGAGGTGTACAGTCGGAGTTGCGGAATGTATGCATCTGGGACATCAGTGCATGCCTTTTACGACTATGCATTCATTACCTAAGGCATAGAGCAGGTAGTAGCTCGCCACCTTGTTGAGGTAGAGAACACGAACGGACTGATGTGTCAGTAGAGTAGCACTCGCCTCACAACGCCGCGACAGAATTTCGTGCATGGCTATTACGAACGATAACAACGCTGTAGTCATCTCAAGAACCTACGCTCAGCTCGTGAAAGCGCCATGTCGAAGCTGGTCAAGCTACTTTCTTGACCTTGAGGCTGCTCGGCTCTTTGTTCGCTAGTTGGATAGCGTCGAGGGTAGCAAGGACTGAGGCACAAGTTCTGCTAGAGCGTGGAAGCAACTTTTAGTAGTAGACTGAACCTCTTGACTGCTCGAGAAGACAAGCGGATGCCGAGCTAACATGGTTACTGATCAACAGCGTCGAGGTCAAAACCGCGGCGCGATGTCGATAGCTGCTATAGTTGACTTGTCCACGAATATGCTGCTAGTAACCAACAGTAAGAGCATCAAGGCAGTAACGCGTTCACATTTTGTGGTAGTTACCAGGGAATATACGACAAGGATGCCAACGACTGAGCGATCGATCGCATCACTCTCATGTGTCAGTCTTTATCCAGAGCAGAGGAACCCAACAGGTCGAGAAAAGTGTGAACGACTAGAGTTATCTGCATTTACCTGCTCAGTGCTACAATGGAGGAAGCACCTTGGTGCTCAATTAACTTGCCAGCCGACCGCTACACTGGTAGCTACGCTTGCATTGTGCCCATGAGTCGGCTACAAAACAGTTCAAGCATCTCAACGTCAACGATGGCATTCGTAAAAGAGGCTCCACAGTGCTCATCGAACAGAGCTTGCTACGGAAATTGTTTTCCCGGAGACTCTGTCACATGTTTGTCGATGCCACGCGATAAACACAGCAGTGAGTTGACGAGAATCCACTCGACGCAGTTTGATGGGGCACTGCTGTAAAAGAGCACATTGCACACGAGTGTAGATTTGCAAGTCTCCGTGCAAGCAAGCGACGCGATGCGACGAGCATCGACCAAGCCGTTCCTATCCCACTGCACGATTCCTCAACGAATACCTGATGTAGTAAGTCTCGACAGATGCACGATCGTCGAGACGTCGAGTAAGTAGAATGGATATTACCACTTGCACTTGCAGCAAGCAAAATACGACAACGTCGAACGTCGACTCGTATCGTCCTCTGCTTTGACCTCATTGCTTTTAACTACTCGTACACAGCGAAGAACAATGGACGAAGCTGTATCTAATTGGCTGCTAGTTGCCTTGCTTGGTCCAAGGCAGTTATTAGTTGCCAAACTCAAGGTGGAAAGTTTACCATGCCGAGGGATGTGTAGCTCTTGGGCCTGGTCTATCCCCCGCCTGTTGTCCCACGTGGCGTTGCACACGTCACAGCTGTTGTGTGCTGTCGTCTCCTTTACTTTATTGACTCTATTCGATAAGGACGATGTAGCCATGTCGGCCAACGAGTCAGACATGTAGCGAGTCAGGTACCTCAGCTTTTCGTCTTCGAACAGCTCTTTTACCCGCTATTTGGGCCAACAACACGGCCATGTGGAGCACCAACTGGAAATTTCGAGCCGAAACCACTCGGGTTTGTGCTCCGTATATACTAGGCACTACCTCAAGCGCCAGGCTCAACAACAGCTTCGTACCACTTTAACATTGGCGACCACCATTTATCAAAACGCTCTCGTTGGCGTCCATTGTCTCGGCATCAAGCCCCTTGCACCCCTTTTTTCTCGCGCTGTTTCAATCGAGTTTCGCTCTCGCTGCTATAACTTGATTCGTGCTGACTTGCAGTGTACACTCGACCAAGAGGACACCACGCGAATAAATGGCAGCACGAAGTCGTCGTCCGCGAGGTCTCTCAGCAAATCACATCAATGAGGAGGAGCGCTTGCAGACCATTTTGAACGACAAGTCGGCCTTGTCTTGCATTCGCCTGCTTGGCAAAGAGAACTGGGTCAAGGTGGAAGAGCGGCCCAACTGCTTTTACTGCGCCCGCAAGTTCCGCCCATTCTCGATCAAACGTCATTGCCGCTCTTGTGGAGAGATTGTCTGCTCCAACTGTTACCGGCGACGACGTGTGAGTGTCACTCCGACCTTGGAAGTCACGGTGCGTCTCTGCTTTGACTGCATCGACAAAGCCATGCTGCAGGCTGAAAGCGAGCACCTTCGTAGCAGTGTCGCTGCCAGGGGCAAGCCACGATACACGATGGAAACGGACAGCACGGAAGTAGCCACAAAGCAGTGCATCTCGGACGGGAAAAAGACGTGCCGGGACAGCACGCAGACTGCCTGCACGACAAGTACATCCATCTGCAGTCGCTTTTCCGACTTCTCTGGCTCCGACAACTGGAGTGATGTAAACAGCGACGTCAGCGACAGCTGCAGCCTCGCCGGAAGTGGCGGGTCGCTCAGTGGTAGCCAGCGTGACAGTCGTCGCGGACAGCCAGTGATTCCTGCAACCAGTCTGATCGAATTTCTCCCTGAAGAAAAGCAGTCCAAGATCTATGATGCCCATCGACACGAGATCCTGACACGATTCAATGTGCTCGACTCGGAGCCCGAGAAGGAATACGACGCGCTATGTGAGCTTGTTCGTCAGGTGTTCGAGTGCAACGTCGCCGCCGTGGCTTTCATGGATCAGACGCGGCAATGGTACAAGACTCGATACGGTATCACGCAGACTGCACTGCCACGTGAAATTGCGTTTTGCTCGCAATTGCTGCAGACGCCACTGCCGACAATTGTCATGGACGCGACCAAAGACCCTCGCTTCAGCCAGAACCCGCTCGTCACGGGCTCAGCTAACATCCGTTTTTACGCCACTGCACCAATTTGCGACCCCAGCACTGGCATCGTTATCGGTTCTGTCTTCGTAATGGATCCAGAGCCGAAAGAGAAGCTGCCATCGCGCGCAAGGGAGGTATTGTCGTACGTGTCTTCCGCTGCTGAAAGGCTTCTTCAAGAAAGAGCTGCGGCACCTGTCTTGCCTACCCTGAAGCACAGACGTCACTTATCCGTTGGCCGCCGCACGCGTCAAGAATCGTTGCCACCGTTTCGAGAAATCCGAGCATCCTCTCTTCAGAGCGTACCTGAAGAGATCGAAGCCGGTGACTTTTGCATGACCCAGCCACGGTCGAATGCATCTAGCATATCATCGAACACTAGCACATGGAGCAGCCAGTCTGACAGCATGCGCTCTTTGGAGCCGAAACCTCTCGTGTCTTCGCAGCAACAACATCGCCAGCCTGTGAACCCGGACACGAGATGGACATCTTCAGTATTAACAGACGCTTGCAACACGTCAAGCTCGAAACTCAGTCTCACGGACTTGGTCTCGTCGATACCAAAGAGTTTCCCACCGACGCCACGAAAGATCCTCGACTCGTCATGTATCGAGCTCTTTCATCGCATCGCTTCCACCCAGCAGCTCCTGGCAAAGCAACATGACACGCTGTTGGCAATGTTGACACAACCTTCGCTACGCTCTAGCTCTATCGGACACACAGTAGACGAGTCCGCAGGTATCTTGGCTATGCAGCAAGCACGCAGCCTGCTACATAATGTCGGCTCAGTGGACCGAAGGCCAGTCGATCTGTAGACAGAGTATCTGGTAATAGTATCTCGTAATTATCTGTTGTCCAGCAGCCACTGCGAAGAACTTGTTTGTGATTGAAGCTTGACCCACAGGAAGAAGCAGCGGCTGTGACGACTGAATCGTGCCTAGTAACACACAAGAACACATAGTGTTCTCACCATCTCGAGACAACCTTGCACTATCCAGAGCAGCGAGACCAAGCTGGAACATCGTTACACCGACGACTTGCCAAGTGATCATCACGAGAACCGTGTGCAATCGTGTTTGTACCGAACTGCCGGCTGCACGATGACAAACTTGACGTCGGCGCAAAGGCATCCGACACTGCGGTCGAGTTTCATATTGAACACTAGTTAATGTGTGCTCTCCTGCTTGGTCCACCTCCAGTAGTACCATCTTCGCATTCTTCGCTGCCATCTTCCTCATCATCACGGTTGTCTTCTTCAGTACTGAACTCGCCTTCATCAGTAAGGTTTTCTTTATCGTTCAGCCCACCATTCTCACGACAACCGTCTTGTTTGTTAGTATCCTCCCTGCTCTTTGACTCTAGCGGACCAGTGTCTTCATGAGGCAGCACACCCAAATCTAGGAGCTCGTGTTTGTATTTCTCAATTTCCTTGGTATACCGAATACCGTGGCGAAGGTGGCGCAAGCGAAGGCCGAGGTTCAGTCCCCAAGCAGGTTGCGGGTATGCGCTCTCGTTTGGCACAACGAAGCTGCCGTCCATGCCTTTACAACTGCCATGCAGCTTTGCGTAAACTTGGAACGAGCATAGCAATACATCCTTCCAATACTGCTCGGCGTGAGGTGTAAGATTTCGTTCGACGGACGTATGACGGGCCGCGACAGCTTTCTTTCTGCCTTCTTGGGTCTGTATCGGAAGCAGCCCGTTTGTGCGCTTGTTGTATCGGGCAAGCCATGCACCAAGCTCAAAGCTTCGAGCCATCTCCGGATAGCGCGAATCGTCAGCTGGTACTACAAAACTTCGCGGGATCTCTGCCTTTTTGCCGTGCTCTTTCTTGTAAATCGCGACACACGGGTCCACAATATCGCGCTTCGTTGCTGCCGTGGACTTGTAAATGCTCCACACAAACCCAATGTTCTTCAGCCGTTCACGGTACTTCTCCACCTGCTGAGCATGTTGACAGCGATTGCGTATGTTACGCACAGTATGACCAAGCTTCGTCCCCCATGACGGCTGTGGCCACGTGCTTTCCGATGGTACAATAAAGCCTTGTGGAACATGCGTATCCCCGTACGTTTTTGCATACACTTCAAGAGCCGGCAGGACCCGGTCGACAAAGTTACTCTCGAACGCGCTAAACTTGAACCCGATGGCATCAAGATCCATCAGGACATCCGCGACCTCGTCATTCCCACGTCCACTGCGTCTCACGCGAACAACCTGTTTGCCCAATTGATAGCCACGCAGCTTCTTAGGCCACGACGTCTCCGTCGTCGGTACGACGTAGTACGACGGCACATCACAATGACCAAATGTCTTCTTGTACCAATACAGCGCCGGCACCAGTTCTTTCGCCCACTTTCCCACAAGTGCTTCCCACGTGTACCCAATCTCTGTCAACTCTCGTCGATCGTCTTGAAGTTCCGCTTGAAACACTTGTTTCAACTGGATCGAGGCGACAATGTAGCCCAACTTCATCCCCCTTGCTTTCTCCGGCCACCTATCGTCATCATCCGGCACGACAAAGTCCACTGGAATGCACGTCTCGCCCTGAAACAGCTTTGGATAGAGCCGTAACGACGGCAAGATCGCGTCCCGCCAGACCATCGTCGACTTTTTCTCTTGACTAAAAAACTCCAGCTCCTGCAATTCAGCCACTTGTTGCAGCGTCAAAGTTTGATCGTCTTCGTGCACACTAGTGCGGACTTTGGCTACAATGTGGCCAAGACGGTACCCCGCCGTCGCTGCCGGCCAAAAGGCCGTCAAGTGACTGTCTTTGTCGTCTGGAGACGGCACACGGAACGTGTGGTGCACATTGCAATGGCCAAAGAGCGCTCGGTAGCTACCGAGTGCCTTGAGGAACTGCGTCTCCCACTTCCACTGGGTGTCGCTCCAGATAAAACCCATAGCATTGAGCACGTCCCTTCTATCGACCGCCAAGCGGTCCGTGTCGTCGTCCCGCCTCCGCGTCACCGACGCGTCCCGACGAAGCACTTGGCATAGTGAGCCCAAGTTAACGCCCCAGGCGGCCCGCGGCCACTTGGGGTCCTGGAGCGGCACTTGAAAGTCTTGGCGGACGAATAAATGGCCTTCTAGCGCTTGGAACACCTGGAGCGCCGGCAAAAGCTGCTGCTCCCAGACGTACGCGCGCCAATCAGCAAATGGGAAGCCGATGCTCTGGAGCATCGCGCTCTTGTACGGCATGGACCGACCGCGGGTAAAGAGGCGGAGACGCTGGCCAAGGTCCATGCCGTGCGTTTCCGGGGGCCACGGGGACGCGCGCGCGTCGGCCGGAGACGACGGCGTTGGTACGACGAAAGCGGCCGGCACGGTAAAGTGGCCTTCTAATTGGAAAAAGACCCGTAAGGCCGCGAGGAAGTGGCGGTCGCGGTCGGAACGAGGTGTGAAGGAGGAGGACGAGGTGGTGGCGGAGGCGAGGGCGCGACGGAGGAGGAAGGGCGACGCGAGCCGCAGGGTGGACGACGACCGGAGCCACGCGGCCATGGCGGACGGATGTGTGTGGTGTGTTGGGTGAGTGGGTGGATGGGTGGGTGGTGGAGGCGTGTCGAGCGGGTCGGACTGGGTTTTTATTTATATTTTATTTAGAGGAGGGATGGAGGTTGATGATGATGAGGTTGCTGCTTGGAGAGTGATGGCTGGGTATGATTGTTTGGGGGGAAGCTGCTGGGGATGCGAGGTGAAGAGCGATGCCGGATACGGAGGGTTTTTTTTTTTTGCTTGATGACGGCGCAGTGTCATGAAACATACGTGTCTGAAAACCAGCGACCATTTGGTTCGAAACACATTGACGACTCCCCCCCTCTTTCAGCCAAATCTTGTCCCCACGCACTCTCTCTTGACCAGACCAAATACGAACAGCCTCCCGATACGGACGTTGAAGTGGAGCTGCATCAAACCCTCACAAGTGATGCACCTCCTGCCTCCATGATCCCTCCACCTCGACATCGCACTCTTCCTTTTCCACCTCAACGCTCCATCCCCATCCCATCCCATCCCCTTCGCTCTCAAATGCTCCACCGCATCCCTCACTCCATCCGCCTCCTCCGCCCCTCGCGCCCCTTCTCCTCCTCCTCCATCGTACGTCTCTCTCTCGCTCCTCCTCGTCCTCCTCTCCTCTGCTTAAAACTGCCTCCTTCCTCTTCCTCTTTTGTGTACCCATTGCAGCCCCGTGTCCCGCTCTTTATCGATGGCAAATTCGTCCAGTCGACAACCGACAAGTGGATCGACCTCCTCAATCCCGTCCGTACTTATCCCCTGGCCAAAGGAGCTCCTGCGACGTGTGTACAGTCCTCTCCCTCTCCCTCACCCTCTCTCTCTCTCTTTATCTGCACAGGCCACGAACGAAGTGCTGTGTCAAGTCCCAGAAGCGACCCAGGACGAGGTATCCCCAGCCTCTCTTGTGCCTTGATACTCTTTTTTTTGAACCAAATCTCTCACACTTTTTGTGTCCTGCTTCTTCTTCTTCTTCTGCTGCTGCTGCTGCTTTTGTAGATGTACGAGGCGACTCAAGCAGCTGCTCGTGCTTACAAGACGTGGAAAGAAGTGGGAGTCCAGCACCGTCAACGGGTCATGCTCAAGCTGCAGCACTTGATTCGGGCCCATACGGACGAACTGGCCCTTGCTATTACGCAGGAACAAGGCAAGACGCTCGCTGATGCGCGTGGAGACGTGTTTCGAGGCTTGGAAGTCGTAGAACACACGTGTGGAGCCGCGACACTCATGATGGGCGAGACGGCCGAGAATTTAGCTACGTCGCTCGACACGTACTCGTACAAACAGCCACTCGGTGTCTGTGCAGGCATCTGTCCCTTTAACTTTCCAGCGATGATCCCGTTGTGGATGTTCCCAACGGGTACCGTGACTGGCAACACGTACGTGCTCAAGCCATCGGAGAAAGATCCTGGAGCGACGATGGTAAGCGAGTATTGTGGCAATGGACACGTGACCAAGAGAGAAGTGGGGCTGACGGATGCTTTGTCACTGTGTGTGTATCCATTGTTCTTGTTGTTGCGGTGGGTGTAGATTCTCGCTCGTCTGGCTCAAGAAGCGGGACTTCCAGACGGCGTGCTGAATGTTATCCACGGAGCTCATGTACGACACCAGCCGCTTGGTGGTGGTTTGTTGCAACTCGTTGCTAACTTGTGCTTTGCGTCAATGCAGGACACGGTCAAGTTCATTTGTGACGCACCGGAGATCAAGGCCATTTCCTTCGTGGGTGGCAACCAAGCAGGCGAGTTCATTCACTCGCGTGGCTGTGCCAATGGCAAACGTGTGCAAGCCAATTTAGGCGCCAAGAACCATGCTGTCATCATGCCTGATTGTGACAAGGAACAGGCCATTGGCGCTCTTGCTGGTGCTGCTTTCGGAGCTGCTGGTCAGCGGTGCATGGCATTGTCGGTTGTGGTCTTTGTCGGCAAGTCGAAGGAGTGGGTCCACGATATCGTGGAGAAGGCCAAGGAGATGAAAGTCAATGGCGGCATGGAACCCGACACGGATGTGGGTCCTCTCATCACAGTAGCAGCGAAAGAGCGTGCAGAGCGTCTCATTCAAGAAGGTGTGGACAATGGCGCCGACCTGCTTCTTGATGGACGCAACGTCAAGGTCCCCAAGTACCCCAATGGAAACTTTGTTGGTCCTACCGTGCTCAACAACGTCCGTGCTGACAATCCGGCGTACGTGGAGGAGATCTTTGCTCCTGTCCTGGTTTGCACGTCGGTCGAGACGCTGGAAGAAGCGATTGAGATCATCAACCGCAACCCGTACGGCAACGGCACCTCGATCTTCACGTCATCTGGTGCAGCTGCTCGCAAGTTCCAGCACGAAGTCGACGTCGGTCAAGTCGGCATCAACGTGCCCATCCCCGTTCCTCTGCCCATGTTCTCCTTCACGGGCTCCCGCGCCTCAATTCGCGGCGACTTGAACTTCTACGGCAAAGCTGGCATCAACTTCTACACGCAGATCAAGACGGTGACGTCGCTGTGGGACTACAACGAGAAGACTCGCTACAGCGCTGTCATGCCGACACTCGGTCAGAAATAGTAAGAATCCGCAGTAGCGAAACAAATCAAAGAAACATCAAGACATTGTGCAGCATGCCGCTTGTTTGCGTTCTTCATCACACGTACCGATCTGCATCTACCACACTCATACCCTTGACCCACACAGCAAAGCTAGCGTCTTCGCCCGCCCCCACGACCACGGCCACCACCTCGTCCTCCACCTCCGCGACCACCGTTAAAGTAACCACCTCCACCACCATGGTCATTCCGATCCGTTCGCTCTTCGTCTGCTTCCGAGATCTTCGTCTCCTCGAGCTTTCGCCCATCCGGCTCGTTCAGTCTGCAACGGTTGGCGTGGTACTGATTGACAAACATCTCTAGTTGCCCCGCAGCGTTCGCAGCACCAGTCTTGGCATTCTTGCTCAATCGTGGACACACGTCACGCGCGACGAGCACCAACAGTTTGTGAAATTGCTTCTTGTAGTGCTGCAAAAGCTCAAAGCCTGCCACTTCCAAGATCGTGAGAGTCAAAGCTCCTGTCATGAGATGCGGTGGCTCGTTCAACAGGCGCGCGAGCCATGACCAGCAATCTCCAAGACCTAGACCTGGCGGGGACGAGCTCCCATCCCAAGGGGTGGTCTGGCGTACAGCCGCTAGTACAGCAGAGACCATTGTCATGCGTCTCGTGTACTCCGTAACGTGCTCGAGGCCATCAGGATCGGAGCTCTCACCAACTGCTTTTTGAAAGCCCACAGATATCTTGTACTCGGCAATCGTCTGAGACGCGCGTTTTTCTGGATTGTCAGGGATAGTGAAGACGCACGTCTTGTAGAAATAGCCCAGTACGACATCCGTCAGCTCCGGAGTTTGCACACAGCTCATCTTAATCACGTGTGCTATGGGGTAGCACGATCTACAACAAACAAGAGTGCGAACCAATTGACAACATTGTGGGCTAACGACCCCGTCCAATAAACAGAGAACGTGCTACGCACTTGTAGTCCGCACGACTTTCTACTTGTCTGGAGAGGTTCGAGGCGACCATGTCGAGCGCAAATTCGAAGTATGCGTCACCGGGGGTCTTTGCCATCTACAACAATGCGAACTCAGACCAAATGCCGAATGCAGCAGCCGACACTCAAGCACGACTTATCTCCATCGTACCTGTAACAGCTGCCGGATTTTACTCACAACATTTTTGATTGCGGAAGGCGCGGCTGCAATTTGGTTGCACGCCCCAGCCTGCACACGATGCACATGCATACGTTAGCAAGTCACACGAACAATGCTGGAGTACAGCCATACTTCGCGCCTGATCTGCATCCGAATCTTCTTCACCGACGGATCAGGACTATCTGATATCTCCGCGGTGTAATGACGCAGCGCTTCCAAACGCTTTATACACTCGCGTCCTTGTACTACATATTCTGTCGTCCGCAATACAGCTTCTTTTTCGGCTGCTTTCTTTGCAGCTTCAGCTTTTCCGCGCTCAATCTCTTGCCTCTTTTGCGCCGCTGCACGTTCAGCCGCCTGGACCTTGGCCTTTGCGTGCTGTTCTTCCAATTCTCGTTCCATTTTCTGCCGTGCTTCCTGCGCCTCTTCCTCTTCCTTAGCCTTCTGAAGTTCCTATAACATAGCCCAATCCATACACCCACATCCACGCACGCATACATACGAAAGCCTCGTCATCTATGAGCCTCATAAACCATAACACACAGGCACGACAAACCATGACCAAGAAAACAACAAGCTCTTCCCTTTCTACGTACCTCTTGTCTCCACTGCTCGTCCGCTTCCTCCCGCTCCTTCTGCTCTTTTTCTCGTTGACTCTCTTCCTCTTGTTGCGCCTGTTGAAACGCACGCAGCTTGCGCTCGACACTGTCAAAAGTCGACTTTTCACGCATCCACAGCTACCACATCCACGAGCAACAAACAACAAGCAAAACCCATCACAACCACCACAAAGTCAGCAACACCAAACATCAACACCACATCGATCATCAAGTCACCCATGCTCCTCTTCTTCTCTCTCTCTCTCTCTCTCTCTCTTCAATACTAACAACCACATAGAAAAAAGAGCTCCACCGTCTCCCACCTGCTGCAACTTGGTCCTCGCTCGGCTCTCCTCCAGCTGCAATTGCTCGCGTCTCAGCACCTCCAGCTCCTCTTCATCCTTTATATTTTGACCAGTCAAAAGTCGTTCCAGCGCCACATCGGCGTCCTGTCGCGCCTGTTGCAGCGTCTGGCACAGCGTCTGATAAGCGTCACTCCCCGCGACTTTCTGCACCGCTCGGCGCTCACACGCGCGTTCCAGCTGCTTCACAAACTCCTGCCTCGATGTGTCGGTCCAGTGCACCGTTTCCAGCGCCACAGACGCTGCACAATTGCCTTGAAAAAGACCCGTCGCTGGCCACTTGTTCTCGACGTTCTTGTCGTCGATTTCGTCGTCAAAACGCGCGCTGCTGTCGCCACAATCGGGCGGACGCAAGCGTCTGCGACTCGAGGTGTTTTCTACATACAGTGGGAGGTTCTGGTGGCCGTTGTAGCACGCACGGACGGCGAGAGACCGCGGCGTCGGCGCGTCGTCCGCGACGCTGAAGCGCATGAGTCAAAAAGCTTTCGAATCGATACAAAACTACGATTTGTGTCTGTATTTGTGATCGATTTTGTGCATTCGGAGACAAAAGTGTGCGAGTAGGCGAGAAAGAGGTGTATTTTTTGGTTTTTGAGGGACGGGATGTGGGTGGCGTGAACGTGGTGTGGTGGACACGAGTTGGACCGTGCAGACAACGTGGAACCGCACCGACGGAACCGTCGACGTCTCCACCATTCATATTGCGGCGAGACACCGACTTGGCCGGGACGGAGTCACTCGCCTTCTTCCTTTCTTCATTCGTGACCCAGAACTGCGCAATTATGGTAAGCGTCTCCTGTGTCTAGGACGATCGAGTGTGTCCATTCCTGTACCTAATGAGGAAAAAAGAGACGCCACTGCAATGGAAAGACACACAAAATGACAGAGAGAGAAGGAGTGATCCAGAGAGAGAGAGAGAGCTGTTGAGGGATTCGACCACAGATGACCAAGTGGACCCCTTGCAAGTGGCTACATTGGACTCTTGAGTAAACTGTTACTATCACCGCAACTGTCTATTGACTGCTATGTTGCAATCGCTCTCCCTCTCCCCGTGATCATTTGTACCTCTCTCGCTTCAAGCTCTCGCTTCTTGGCTTGCTTGATAGCTCTGTAAAGTTGTAGACAGCTCCCTTGGTACAGAGAGTGACCGACTAGTCATTGTGCTAATTTGCTCATTTATGCTGTGTCTTCTCTGTTGCTAGCCCCGTGATCTTTTGCACCCATCTGCCGCTGGAGAAGCGTCCAAGCACAAGCTTCGTCGCCTCGTTCAGTCCCCGAACTCGTACTTCATGGACGTCAAGTGTCCCGGCTGTTTCAATATCACGACGGTGTTCAGTCACGCGCAGACGGTCGTGCTCTGCGGCTCGTGCTCGGTGATGCTGTGCCAGCCGACGGGCGGTAAAGCGCGTCTGACAGACGGCTGTCAGTACCGCAAGAAGACGGAGTAAGTGTATTCGTGGACCATGCAGGGAGAGCTGCTGCTGGCTGTTGGTCTCCATGGCAGCAGCAGATAGATACTCGACGACTTAGGACGGAGAAGGAACCAAGCAAGAAAGCTAGGTGGTCGTCTTTTCTTGGCGTGTTCAGCTTGTACGCTCGCTAGCTTCAACTTGCTTGGGAACTAGATGTGTTTGGAGGCGAAGAGAGGATACCATTCGGCCTTTGCAGGTCGACGGGATCGGGTTGGCAGGCTGTGACTTGGATGAAAGTAGCTGCTAATGTGAATGGAGGGACGTAAGAGTTGATTATTTTGCAGGCTTTTATTCGTTGTTCTTCTAGTGTCTGCTATTGTGCTGGTACCAGGAGGAGATGTGAGCGATGATGGAACACCGAGAGGAGGCACCCGTGTATTGCTTTCTGTATTCTTTGCCTGTTACCAGTTCATTCACACCAACCCGCATGTCTTGTGTATCTGTCATATCTGCATATATAAAGCTGCTGCCACCACCATGTTGCATCCATCAGCACTCACTCCCCGATCACGAGGCCCTTATGTTCAATCCACTCCCATTCTCAGTCCTCGCGCTCGTCAAACATCGCGCTGAAATTGTCCGGTCATTTTCCACCAGCAAATCTTGTGCCGATGAGGACAACTCGCTTACGCGTGAATTGCAGTCCTGTCCTTCTCTGCCACAATCCACATACTATCGTCCTCCAGGTCCAAACGCTCGGCAAGTGCCATGATGGACCCCGTCTCCAGCAAATACGACACCAGTTTGTCGTTCGCATCGACCATTTCGTCCAGTACATCAGCGTTGGCTTCTTCGTCCGTTGCAACCTCCTCTTCATCACCAGGCGTGGTCGACCCGCCATCTTCTTCCTCCACGTTCGATCCATTCGAACCATTTTCCGAGACGGAATCGTCCGCATCGTGCCGCCGATGCACTCCCCCACCTCCTGACTTAGTCGACGAAGCGTCGTCAGAAGATGAATTATCGTGCGGCTGGTCCCTTTGCTGTCGGCTTTGTTTCGACCCTCTACCACCTGCTGGCGTCTTTTGACCACGCAACAGCGCTGCCTTGCGCTCCTTGGTACGCTGACGCTTTTTTTGACGCTTGCTGCGCTTCGACGCTTGACGTGCCTGCTTTTCATGCGTCTCCTTTTCGGTCTCTTCCTTCCATAGACTCTCCTGGTACTTGAGATGGAACACCGTGCAGTTGCAAAGCTTGCACACGTTGCACTTGCACTCGGCACAGAAAAACGTGTCGTTCGAGTGCTTCGAGAACGGGCCCAAGCAAATAGCGCACGTGACAAAGTGTTGCTGCCAGATGCGCGTGGCTCGCTTTGCCACGGTAGCCGACTTGTGTGACACCAACGTCTCTATATTCGCAGACGCCATGAGACTTGCATACGGATTTGGAGAGTCCGTGCGCTTTGCCTCCAGCTCGCCAACCTGAAGAATGCGCTCCAAGCCTTCCAGCGCCATCATAACCATACTAGTTTCTTCCAAGAGATTGCCCAGGATCTGTATGCAACCCTGGTTCACGAGGTACTCGATTTGACTGTCCGACCCACACGATGTGGCATTAAGCACAACCCAGCAGGCCTCACTTTTCACTTCAGCATCCGTCGTGTCAGATGCAGCCAGCCCCACCAACGACGGGATACACCCCGAATCAAGCACGCACTGGATTTGGTCGACTGTGCCAGCAGCAATGTTCGACAGAGTCCAACACGCTTCTTTCTGGATCTCGCGATTCGAATGTGCGATCAGTCTCCGCAAAGAAGGCACAGCACCACACTCGATGATGTGCTGCGTGTAATCGTGGTCATCTTCAGCACAGACAATGTTCCCAATCGCACGCAGAGCGGGTTTGGTGACCCGCCAAGACGAGTGACTCAGAAGCTCAACAAGCCGGAAACACACGTCCGAGTCAACGACCGCCTGAATGTGCGTGCTGGGTCCGTCGCACAAGTGCGAAAACGCCCAGCAAATGTGGCTCAGGATTTCAGTGTCGGTGCTCGTTAGCATTTTGGCCAGGTACGGCAAAATTAGCCCAATGTCGAACACTGGCCGTGGCTGGCCGTCGCACAAGTTACTGATTGTCCACGTCAAGATGCGAAGGAGCGACAAGCGGTCCCACGACGTCTTCTTCAGGTTGTTCACAAGCGGTGTCAGCGCACCAGCGCTCAGCACAAGATCCCGCGTTGCAGCTCCTTCGCCGGCCAAGTTACCAAGAACCCACACGGACTGCTCTAGCACCTACTCCGTTCATCCCATGTACACGAACACTCAGCAAATAAGCTCACAACGTGCTGACATGAGACCATTTACCTAGTGTCACCCTACCTCTTCATTCGACGAGTCCAACAACGAAACAAGTGTTGGGATCACGCCATTTTGGAGCAGCACCGATGTGTTGTCCGTGGCTCCCGCCGCAATGTTTGTAAGTGCCCACAACGCTTCCACTTGAAGAGTCGGTCGGTCTCGTAGTCGCAACCACTTTATCAGCCGCGGTGTCCAGTTCTTTTCCAGCATCTAAACATCGGCAGAGAACAAACCCGTCGTCACAAGAAGCAAGTCAGCCTAATGTCACTATATACTGCACAACTTCACTGCAAGAATAAACCTACCTGACGAATAAGCAGATCACGCTCGGACGACAGGAGCACACGTAGCTTTTTGGCTGCTTCCAGTTGAACATCCGCGTCTTCCGAGTTCAGTCCCGCATCAATTTGGTTCAAATCTCCCTGAAAAGATGGCGACGGAGCCAACGCTCCCAGTCCAATGGACCCATCCAGTCCATTCCGTCCTAGACTGCCATCAGCCAGTCCGCTCAGACTGCCATTCGCCAGCAAACCAGCTCCATGCGAAAGATGGTGGTGGTGATGGTGACGGTGATTGTGCGAGTGCAGCGAGAACTGCGACTGCGGCGGCAACGCGCCAGCCGTCCCCATACCCCCTACAGGATCGAGAATCCCGGCCTTCCCAGCACTTCCCACATGGTGAATGGTCGTAGTCGTCGACGTCACGAGCGTGGCGTTCCCTCCACTATGTGTAGCCTGGTGATGGTGCACAATGTCTCCATTCTCCGTGCGATGGGCGCTGGACGACGACTTCTTGAGCGACAGATTCGACTGCGACAACGAGCTCGGGAGAGCGGCAACAGCTGCGGCCGTGAGTTCTGCCACGTCCGTTGGCGATAGAAACGCCTTGTGGCTCGAGATTGTACTGGAGCTGCTGCTGCTGCTGTTGTTATGGCTACTAAAAGAGCTGCTCATCTGATCACGAAACGAGCGAGCGACGATTAGGGGTACGTGAGCTCTTGTCTTGTAATGGGAGTAAAGAGGGGGCGTGGATCCTCGTCTTGTTCCTGCTGCGACACAAGAAGAACAAGAGACACACGACACCGAGCACACACACAATAGAAGACGTTTAGAAGGCGGTACAATGGCTCGCAGACGGCCGAAAAAAAGAGGGACTGGAACGGACACGCGACGGATGCGACGTGAGAAGACACGAGAGTCGCTTCGCAGCGGGAGGTACGTGACGCACCTGTGTAAAGACGCTCGTAGAAGCCGATGGGAGCTCCTCGATGGCTTCTTCCGCTTTTTTTAGTGGTGGTTTTCGCTAATTTTCAGGTCGATGGGCCCGATTTATGCGGCTAATTCGTACTTGTGAGAGGACGTGAAGGACGAATTAGCTGTAACTGCTTCTTAGGACAAGGATGATAGTATTTATTTCTCATAGCGTGTCGAGAAGATGAGGAAGTTTACAGCTTTCTACCATGAACTACATCCATGGCTTCGATGTGGGGGTTTGTAGGGGCTATTATTCATCACAAATAGTCACGTCCGTCGCTTCTTGAGTGTGGAATGACCCACTCGCGATTCGAAGACTGTTCTCTTCCGGATTGATGGATGGATCCCATCACTCGTGTCCTCTTCGTCTTTGTGTAGAACTACGTTCCAAGTATTTCTGCTTCTCATGGACTGAGCTCTGCGTGATAGTCGCCGTCAGATGGCACACAATTGTCCTGGTTTTCTGGACCACCACCGGATAATTTACGCCACTTTCACTCCCACCTTCATGTGATACACTTGTAAGCACCATGATCAATTTCCAGGAAAACCATGTCGGTTTCATCGACCTGTAGGCATCCGGTGACTTGAACTCACCACTTTAAGTTGTGACGCCTTAAAAAGGAGCGCGTCATAATCACCAGAGGATTCACCCGCCAGAGCGATACACGCACAATCGCCGAGAAGTCATTGTCCCGAACAGAGCAAGACCAGAACTCCAGTTGCCGCTAGCTACGGCGTGTTGAATGTCCACCACTGGGAGGGCTGCGCTAGCCACACTCACGGCCGTAGACTCTGGACCGTATACCTCGCGATGAGAAGCTACGTCCCACAACGAAATGCGCTCGATATCACGCGACCACGAAGCCACCACAGAGGAGCCATTGCGTTCAGACCATATTGCTGATCGAGACAACGCAGCGACTGAATTATGACCAGCAAACTCGGTTCTCGGCGCAAGCTGTCCGCTCTGAATGGTACTGAAGTCGAACACACTGTGCATTGTCGATGTAGAACGTGACGACACCACCATTTGGTTCGAATGGAGCTGGTTCGATACAAGCGAATAGCACGCATGGCCTCTCAGTGTGTGACAAGTAATTGTGGCTCCAACAGAACTATTGTCGATCGACTGACCAGCTCCAGTCACGGTATCTGCAACGTCTTTCCACACAGACACTCCACGAAATGTAGCCGCTGCAAGACCCTCAGTCGGACGTCCCTCGTTGTTGCTTTCGAATAACTTGATCGAGTGTACGGGCTGCCGTTCCGGAAGCGAAAATGATTTCACAATACCTTTCTCTCCTGCTATCGGCCTTCGCATGTCGTACTTGGCTACGGTACCGTTCTGAAATCCACAGTAAATGGCGTTGGGATCTCGCTCACTAGAGCTGCACGACCAACCCAGCCGTTGGGTTGCAGGGAAGGCAATCTCCAGCACTGCCTTCTTTTGCTCAAGACTCGTCACAGCTAGTTTGCCGTCGAACGCTACGGTAATAGCACTGCCAGTCATCGGGTGGATACAAATATCGCGAATGGCAGAGCTGTGCACAGGTACTTGTACTCTGCATCTTGGATCTTGCGCCACAATCTTTATTACACCGTACGAATCATCGCCAAGCTTTTCACCGACGTACAGAAATGAGCACGCCCGAGCGATACTAAACACACGTGCCCTTGACAAGGGCACGTCAAATATCGGCTTGTACTTTTGCACGGCATGAACCAATGTATCCTCCGCAAGAGTCTGTGAGGTGGATACTACAGGCTGTCGCGAGTTGCTCAACACACAAGTTGCTGCCTCTTCCAAAGTGCTTCGAGACGGCATGACACGAGCAGCTGCCGTTGTAGAAACAGGAGAACCTACGCATTTGCCAACTTCCGCTAAAGCAGCACCAGCAACCTGGTTTTGCTTTACCGCACAAGTGCACCGCATGCCTGCAGCGTCTCGTTGATATCCATCCAGCACCGTCTGCAGCCACCTCGTCTCGTTCGTCTTCTTTTCTAGTTGTGCTTTCACAACCACCATATCCTGCTCCAGCTTCTTGCTCTTTTGTTTCTCCTCCTGATACTTTTTCGTCATGTCTTCCAGCCCAGCATTGTCCACAACTGCCACATGATTTGAAAACAAGAGACAAACGTCCGTGCTTTGCACGACAGCACTGCAGTTCGGACACGTGTGTCTCGCCTTGATCCAGCGCTCGATGCATCGTTTGCCAAACAAATGGCCGCACTTGAGAGCCACGAGCCGATGGCGACCTACAACGGTACAGACTTCACAGCAGATGGTGCACTCGGTAGGCTCTGGTCTTGTCTCAATAACCGAGCGCTTGCGCTTCCGAGACGTGGCTGAGCCGTCTCCAGCTCGTCGAGCTGCGGCTGCTAGTGCCACTGCAGCTTCCGTGGCCGTCAGTATCTGCACGTCATCATCGTCACTGTCTTCAATTAAATTGACTGGAGCTGATAGGAGCCATGCAGAGCCCACAATACGCTGTGAAGTAGCAGCAGGAGCAGAGCTGGACGTAGTAGGGACGTCGTTTGAAGTAGCGTCAAGCAAGACCTGGAGCTGGGAAGACCTCGAGGGCGCCGAGGTCTCGGCGCTGCTCTCACTAGCGATGCTGATGACGTACTCGCTTCCGCTCCCGGAGCCATCGTTCGAGTCGCCGCTGCCAACGAAGACGTCGCCGTCCTCGTCGATGTCGACCGAGCGAAGTAGACGGTCGGTGAGTGTACTCATTTAATTATGCAATGGCTACTTTCGCATTGGACCTTTTCGTCCGGATGCTACTTTTGGGTCCGAGTGGCTGGGTGGGTGGGTGGGTGGGACACGAGATGAAAAGCTGCAGGGACTTTCGTTCGCTGCTTGCCTGTCGCTAAGCGTGTGTCGCTCGTGATTATCCGCTGTGATTTAGACGTACTTAACACGGTAACCACCCGGCGTCTAGTTTCGTCCTCGAATACAGGTTAAGCAGCGGCTACGCTGCTCTCGCTACGACGCTGATGACGACTTGTACAACATAGCGTGTACCACCTAACCGGCTCGTTGCCACACTGGCACAAAAAGCTCGATATCGCCAACCCTAAACTGTTCACGAGACGGATTCGATCCTCCGATCAGGGCACCTCGTAGTCGTACTTAAGAGCAATTCCCCGCCCCCGTTCAAAAAGTTAAAAAAGCATAATCTTGCGCCAAAACCGCACTTACACGCCGCAGCCGCACCTCAGCCAGCCCAACCCCCGACGCCGCTTGTTCCCCCATGACCGACCGCTGGACGACACACCAGCGTCTAATCAACGTATCAAACGACAAGCTTCCTCTCGTACGTGCGCTAGAACCGCTTCGTGTTTGAACAACTACAGACAGCATCAAATCTCCTGGGCTGAAAATGTAAAAGCGCTTTTTATAATGTACCCATTTCCTCACGAGCCCGCTTTTTTACGATACAATCAACAGCCCAAGCATCAATCAAGCCAATACAAGAACTTGTCCCAGTCCACAGTGTCTCGTGCTCGAGCTGCTGGCAGGACCAGCACAAAAGATCATGGACACACGCCGTCGTTCTTTGCTTGGGACCAAGAAAAAGCACTTTTTATGCCAACTGTACGTGGCAACAAAGTACCGGGAGAGTGCTTATTTTGTGTATCATTTATGTGTCAAAAACAGCAGCAGCCGCTAATGGCTTTTTTGGTCGTGTTGTGCTGGTGCAAAAACAGCCCGTAGCAAGGACTTTGGACATGACGGAGACGCAGAGTGAACACGACGTGGCAGTTGAAAAGTCGCGCTTAGCAGAGTCGAGACAGGATCAGGTTGACAATGACGATGGTAGCAGCTGCGAGGAAGACGGAGCCCGAGCTGGAGTAATTGGTCGATCCATTGCCGTGAGTCCGAGTCGAGAAGATATCCTCGATCGGTGTCCTCCTCCTGTTGCTGTTGCTGCTGCTGGACGGTCACCTGTCAAGGTCTCGCCGTCGCCGTATTGTCTCTCGTCGAGTGTGAGATACAAGCATGGTCGTCGAATTGAAGACAGTGATATTGCTGACTCGACGGCTCGTACCCGACTGTGCGTTGCAGGAGTCACAACGGAGCAGGCAGATCGCTATAGGATGAGCAGGACGAGTGGCAAACGCTTGCGCTCGCCGTCAAAGCCGACGACCTTGTGGGGGGATCCTTGCGACAGCTACAACCGCCAAAGCGGTACGAGCGTCAGCGTCACGGACACACCCAGTTTTTCTCACAAGCGTCACGTACATTCTGCCGCAGAAAGAACGTTTGGCGGTTCGTCGGTCTTCCGGACGCTCAATATGGATACGTACGGCTGGCCTCCATCCGAGTTGGTGCGCGGCCAGCATCGATCTGTCGCAACCGGTTCTGATGCTAATGACGGAGAACACCGGTTCCCACGTGACGTCGAGTCAGAGCAGTTGCCCAATGCACCTTTACAGAGGTCGCACTCTCAGCAATGCAGCACAGACAACGGTAATTCGCGCATGGTCCCTATTGGATCCGAGGTATTCGATACGCCTCTCGTGGAACCCCGAAGCTACAAGAAGACCAAGAGGGTCTCGTTTCATGGAAATGGGCGCGTCAACACGCCGGACGGGATTGCAGCCTACCCGCAGCCTCGCACTCTGCCTGTGCTTGCTGATAAAACCACGCAGACGGAAGCTTTTCTACTATCAACGTGGAAACCGACGGAGTCTGACAAACAAGATGTCTTCGCTCGTCATGGTGGTCGGAGGAACGATCAAGGATCACCGTTGCGCTCCTCAACGATGACCGAGTCCGAGCATCCAAGGCAAATGCCAAGCGACGCTGATAATGCTGCTGGTGCAGACGGTGTGCGACAGCGTCACTATCGTCGGACGAGCGGTCATCTCGCGAATCCGATCATGATAAATCCTAGATACCTACCAGAGCCGACAACGTTCCGAGGTAGATCATCGTACTCTACAATGTCCAATGACAAGTTTCCGTGGCGATAGCGCTTGTGTGTGAATGAGCTCGCGGAAATGCAGCAGGTGCGATGATTAGAACTGCTACGACCCGAGAAGCAGCTGGTTGTTCAAAGCTGTCCACAAATGTACGCATTACACCGGGGCAGCGAGATTCGCTGACCCACTCACCTAATAAAAGAAGCATCACGTTCTGTTGTAATGGAATGCAATTTGTACCAACTCAAGAGTTGCAGAGCCCACACGGGTAAAGTTGATACGAGAAAAGTCACCATTGCGTCTGCGAGTCGATATTGTACAGGTCGGCCAGCGATCGAAGAATCGCGTAGGGAGGAAACAATGTATCCATTGCTGCAAAGACAATGCGCTATCGAGCAGTGGCCATCTACACAATTTTTCATCCATCGAATCTAGGTGATTAAAAACGAGGTGATGGGCTTTGCCTCGCATCAATACAGCTGGAAACTATGCCAGAGCGATAGCATAGAACGTGTCACACATTAGCTTAGCAATGATCACGTATTGTCGCGCGGATTCGAGAGCCGTGTGGTCGCTCAGCAGTCGCCACAGCGGGTCACACTTCAACAAGGTAACTGAGACGATGCAAGAAGCACTGAACCAAATCGTTTGTCCGCTTCGAGCTAAAAGCAACGACATCCATTCGATTTCCATGGCGAAATCGACTTCGATCAGTTCATCTGTACAGCTATCTTTGACGACGCAAGTCCAACTTGCGTAAGCAAAAGATAAAGACGACGGCAACAGCATCTCATTAGTTTGTTGCACGAAAAAAGTTGACGCACGTGGCAACAGTCAAGCTACGAAGACACTGGAGTCGACCGAAAAATACAATCACACCTCCACTAAGAGCGTTCAGTCTCGTCGACAGCTTCCCCCTTCATCCCGATAAAACTCCATCAGCCGAACCTCCAGTCTTGCTGGTTCCACGGGCGGCAGACTTCCCACACGCAAAATAACTTCTGGAGGGATCGGTGCATATGGCTGCACTCCCCTCACTTTGGCAAACTTGCAGACATTGGCCATTGCACCAACCGACATGTCCCCAAGAACGTCCGTCGGTACTGATGCGGCAGGAAAAGCACTGCCTAGCACAGGACCTTGTCTCGACACTGGAGCTCCATCCATTTGCTGCTGTTTCTTCCACTCATAATAGTCAGAAAAGGGTCCTCCCGGGTTCAAAAACGCGAAATCCGGATTGTTCTGCTCTCGTTGCTTGACCGTAAGCTCGAACGCGATTCCGTTCCGCGCTACGAACTCCACAAGTCGATCAACGCGATTTTTCACGTCGAAAGGGATCGTTTCCAGTTGAAAAGACTCGGCGACTGGCGCAGACGACTGAAACGTCGTCGAAACTGGTGCAATCGGCGCAAGAGAAGTACCAGTCAATGGGCAAGACGCACGCGCAGATGCAGCAATAGACGCCAAGCGCGCAGCCTCTTTCGCTTGGGCGATACGCGCCTGGAACTGCTGCTCCAGCTGTGCCGACGGCATGGTGACAGCGAATTGTTCGTAGTTTCGGATATTTGGGTCAATTTCGACCGGATGTGATGTACAAAACCTTATTCTTGCACATCAGAGGGTGGGGACGCAGTGTTGTGGAGACCTTTAAGGTGATCGAGCCTGTCAACATCGGTGCAAGTATGTATACTTAGTGGTGGACGAATGCGTGTGCACCCTCGTGTTGGACACGGTAGGAGCTGACGGTGACTAAGCTCGTTGAGCAGAGAGGAGACTACAACAGACGTTGCGGATGTGGGAGTAGCACAAGAGACAAAGCATCGCATCCCTACTGATTGCGCGCCACCTATGTTTGCCTTTCAGGTTTTGCTAATTTGAGCCACGACTTGAACCTGCCAGCCGAACAACTTCACAAGATGTTGGCGAAGATGGAGATCACGGATGATGCGGAGCAGTAACGATGTCAAACAAGTGAAGCAAACGCAGTATACAAGCACGCGAAATAACACCACAAGCTGCTCGTGTTACCAGACGTGCTCCTCTTTCCACATCTCTGTAACGCAACATATGACGCCAAATGCCTTGACCTAGTCTGAACTTTGGCGTATGCTTGCTGTAGGTCGGAACCATACGCCTCTCCCGATAAAAACGGCCTCAGTTGTCTTGCATCTTCCAGCTGCGATCGTCCACATGGCGAGCGGCCGGTCATTGAGGGTCCACATAAGCATAACGGCAAGTATCGCAGTAATAAAAGTGACACCATTGACGCAATCCAGCGACGATGTCTAGGTGTAAGCCGTGTTGCGAATCATCATTCGTGGCTTGCAGACCTGATGGCTGTTGGGCGTATACCTTCATCCTTATCGACATGTGCAACGCTCCGTTGTGGAGTATGTAATTGAGAAAATGTGACGCCTGATTTGTTTTTGTACTTGTGGTGACAATGACGTTCATTGCTAACTAACTGCAAGGCTGTGTTACAGAATGCTGTTGCCGACCAGGAGCTCTGTGATGATGATGATGATGATGATGATGGTGCATGATTCCGCCTGGAAGGAGGTAATCCAGGGAGTTGGTATGTAAGGCCAGTTTATTTCGAGTCTTGGCTCCACTTCTTCGAAATATCGAGCAGTGAAGTCGCAGTGAAGGTTGTGCTCGGTCCGCTGGATGCTGACTTGAGCTTCTACGTGGAGTTCTACAATCGTGGTCTCCATGTATACAGCATCTGTCTACTGCAATGCTACTACGAGCTGGGCGGCAACTACGCCTTGCTTTACTAACGTAATGAACGACATTACCCGATAAACAAAGTTCTGATCCTCATTACATCGTCAGGTGACGACATGCCACTCGAGATCCATCAATATAGGTGCCTCTGTTGCCAGCCACGAAGTACATCACGTCACGTAAGTCGGAACTGCGACGCTACCAAGTGGATAGACTAAGGTTAAGGTCTTACATGTCGGAGGCAATTCAACGATCTCGGTGGCTGGAGATACAAAGTGATGACGAAGTTCCTTGAAGCTGCTGTCCTTGTCGGTCCCATTTGCTGTCTTTTGCTAGAGGCTATCCACATTACGTTCTTGCGGCGTTCCCCAAGAAGCCCGTTGTACAGCTTCGAGTAGGCAGCGTGGTCGGTGTATGCGACGGCACAGCATCTAGAGACATGTGGGGAACTTTACTCCTTGACGTACAAATCAGCACGAGCTCTTCCCGTGTATCCGACCTCTTCAATTAGACTTCCTAACACTTTGTCAAGCCACCTGTTCATCCATGAGTGCCGATGCTGTAGATGTTTCGGACGGAACCAAGTCTTCGTATACACGTCAATTATACTAAGCATGACAGCGCGTAGTGATGTGAAGAGAGAGAGAGCACTGCTGAAGCCGTCGGTTGCAGTGGGGATAGCGACGATTGACAGATCTTGTCATATCTACGAGATGCTCGGTCTGCTCACCGCGACCACCTTTCGCATCTGCTGCGAGCTATCAAGCATCCAAATTATGACACGATTCCTATCGTTTTTGTTTGCTGCAACCCATCGAAAGGAGACAGTCTTTTTACACGTGGAGCAGTACGCAACGCATCCTGCCGTCTGGTCTTCTGGAAGCTGGATGCACCTTGTCGTAGTAACGTGATTTGCACTCGCAAGAGATTTGCATCGGCTGCATGACTTCCCTCGGCACGAAGCATGGAAGGATAAAGTGATGAGAAGATCGATCTCTGACAGACGCGTACCATGCGCGAACACTTCCGATCCTCTATTATGCTGCCAGGTTATGCCTTGCTGCTCTATGAACTGTGGCGACGTGCGTTGTGGGTATGTCGACTCGAGATGACAGCCCTTTGAAAAGCTCGGGGGGCACTGCAGTAGCTGCAGCTTTCATCAATCAGTGAGATGCCTGGTCGATCTCCTCTAATTACACATGCACGCCGACTGCACGAAATAGCCAGCACATTGGACTGAACAGGTCGGCACGACAACGCGATCAAGCATCACATCATCATCTCCCAGCGGCAGAATCTCTGCTCCTTCCGACACGACGCACACACACAAACGTGTGCTATCCCTCGTGCGCTGCCAACTGGTACCAGCTATTACAGTATTTTTTTCAATTGCAACCTGACGATCGAGACGAACGGACACGCGTCGTCAACACGAGACCGAACTTCTCAATGATGGACCTGGAAAAGAGTCGCCTCAAGTCGCCGGTAATGTGCAAGTTATTGTCTGAAAAAGTAATGGTAGGAATCCACAAGGACGAGGACGAGGAGGTTCATTTGGTCAGCTCCAAAGTGTTGACTTAGAAATACATACGACACTTGATGCAGTCCGTGTCCTGTCTTCCAACGACTAGCCAGCAGCTGCTTGGCCCGTTTCGAGTCTATTTCAATATTCGATTTCGATCGCCCCGTGCTGTCTATTGTTACCGATCGAAATAGCGCGACGCTCGACGCTCCATCCATCTGCCGCGACTGATTAGACTGCAGGGAGCCGCCACTTTCGTAAAAAGAAAGAGCGGGTCACGTAAAAACGATGCGATTGGTTGCCGTCGTGTCAAGCAACTCTCCTGGCGCCTTTGTGTGGTCAACAGCGTCGAGTCGAGACAAGCCCGGCTCGTCTGTCCACGGCACGAGGCCACGACACAAAACATCGCCTGTGTCAAATCGTTTCAACTTCAGTGGCTCAACTGGGTGGATGAGAGTGGGTTTTTCTCTTTCTTGTCTCTTCCTTCCACTTGACTGAAAAGTAGACATTTGTGAAGTGACGGGACGACGCACAGCCGCCCACCCACTCACTCACTCACTGCGATCCGAACGAAAAGACTCACTGAAAAAAGACTAACCAACCTGCTCTCTCACTCTATGGCTATGGCAGCCACGACGACCCGCACCGACCAGGACGAGAGCCGCGCACTGGCGCTCCGCGACCTCCTCAACGACTTTGAAGTCAAGCAGCGCGGCTTGCTGCTCATGGCCATTGACAAGGCCATGGACAAGGCCATGAAGAAGCAGAGCGAGATGCTCGAGACGATCCGGACGAAGGTCGAGACGCGCCATTGCGCCGCTGTGGACGAGCTCCGGGACGACCTGTCCCGTCTCCAGCCCGCGCTCCTGCTCGAGACGCTGATTGGCCGGACCATGGACGTGCAGCAGAACCCGGGCCTGGTGAACTGGATGCGAGGGGACGACGCGAATCGCGCGACGAGGGACAAGACAAAGGACAAGCCGACGCCGAGTGACCCGAATAGTGACAGTGGTCACAATAGTGACACGCACAGTGACACGGACAGTAAAGACGGGCGGCGTCTCAAGGACGAAGCTCTCGTGTGTCTCACTAAGCTCCGGGGCCACTTGGAAGCTCGACAAGGCAATGCCTTTCGCAGTGACTTTGAAGCGCTCTTGGTCTTGTATATGGAGTACCTGGAGATCCCGATGGAACATGGCGCGCGGCTGAATAATCGGATTGAAGATTTGTACCAAGGGTTGCTCGACAAGGCAGGTGCCAAGCATGACTTAATGCATCTCGTGCACCGCGTGCGCTGGGCGTGCTTTGGTGTGCGCGCTATTGGCAATGCCCGCTCGCACGAAGCAACGTTGCTTTCGGAGAGTGAAATTTTTGAACTCTGTGGCTGCTTTAGTGCACTGGGAGCAGGGCTGCCGACGCTTGCGCTGGAGTTTAGTGTGTCAAAAAAACGTCCGGACGAGAGCGGGGTCTCGTCGTCGGGACCAAGTGATAAGAAGGTACCTCGAGAGATGTCTAATTCTGGTAAAGAGATGGAGATGCTGGCGCAGTTGCGAGAAGCTGCCGCTGGGAACGGTAGTGACCAGACGCCGTTTGACTTTATCATCCAACTTATGGCCAACAATGGATTTAATGTCAACAATGCGTCTGCGTCGCCGCCATTGCCGGAATCGCAAACTAATAGTCCGTCGTTGCTCTCTTCTGGGTTCAGCAATGACAGCTTCACTTTATCTGGCTCAACCCCGTCATCGTCATCGTCGAAACCACCAGGTTTGACTAATTTGAGCTTGTCGGGTTTGAATCTAAACAGTTCCAGCATGAATGGATCCTCCTCCGCTTTGAACGGGTTAACACTGAACGGATTAAATTTGCACGGATCAACTTTGAATGGATTAAGTATGAATGGAGGATCAACAACGAGCGGATCAACTTTTAATGGATCAGCGTTTAATGGATCGACGTTGAACAGCTTGAATTTACACTGCTTCGACTCGGGCGAGCGCACTTCAAGCCATGTGCCACCCTTATCGCGTCTAGGCTCGATTGGCAGCCTCAATAGCAACACCAGTCAACCGATACCGATTCGGTACAACGATAATGCTGGTGGCGTGTGGTCGCAACCGCCGCTTCCGCCTAGCTATGCGACTCCGCCGAGAAACGTTACGCAATCGCCGATGTCTTTGGGGTATGATAGTCCTACAGAGAGATCGCCGCATTCGCTACGAGCTGAAAGCCCGGTAAAAAGCTCGTTATACCCACTGGTGCCTTATAGAACTGAGAGCCAACCGAAGGCACCGCCGCAACCTCCAGCTGTCGTCGCTGCGCCACAGAATGAAGTACCATCGCAGGCTAATTTGGCACTCGTCTCGACGTTCACGCTTTATCATCATCGTCCGACGGAATTGCCCAGGGAGAGCGATCGCGTGCGCAAGGCCATGTTTGCACGTATGCTGAATCATATGAATTCGTTGCCGAAAGCAACGCTATGTCCGCTCCTGCCAAGTCACGACCCAACATGCCCGCTCTCGCACACGTACATGGAAGTGATGACGTACAACCCGCTGTACAAGCGCTTGGTTTGCCGCCAACCGTCTCACTACTGGGGAAGTCAAGTGAGTGAAGACGAGAGCTGTGTGTGTCTGCACATTGACACTGGTCTCACGTGGGAGTGGATGGATGAGGCGCGCGACAAGCGCATGTACTGCCTTCGCGGTGCCAAGTGCACTAATACCAAGTGTTTCAAGTCCCACTCGTTTGAAGAAATGTGCTGGTACAACCCGTCCTACAAGATTAAACGCTGTACCGTGCGCGCTCACGACCATATCGCGCGTGCACGCGGCACGATCGCGCCACCGCTCGACTGCAGCTATTACCATATCGAAGAAGGCAAGAACGCAGACAAGCGCGACTTTACGGCGGAACATGATCACGTGGGCAAAGACGTCAAGATGCTCTTCACCGAGCGCACGCACAAGCCACTAGCCGACCTCCTGGAAGCTGTCCGTTACGCACGCGCTTACAACCTCTGAGTGGCTCCTCGGTGCGAAGCTGCGAAGACAGCAGCTCGCCTTGTATACCCGTTCATGTCGCTTGTTTTCAATTGGGCTCGCCTTTCACGCTTCCCGTCGCTGTGCATACAAGAAGAAGGATCCATGCATGCAATATTTAGTGAACTGCTACCACGTGAGACTTGGTCTTGCATATTAGTAGTACCGCTAACAAAATGGACATGCGAAGTATTGGAGACCGTCAAGTTTTCCGAAATATCTCGACGATCAACAACTGAATTTGCTTAGAAACTTCAAGTACTGGTAGTAGGTATCATAGTCGACATCAAGTACCTGCTAACGGTGGGATGCCAATGTCAATTCGGTGGTGCTTTGCCACGACTGCAACGTCATCGTCGTGTTCTCTCCCAACGCTCGAGCCGATTGTCTCAACCTCCTAACGGGATTCTTAGCACAGCGAAGTTCTCACGCACTGTCCCCGTTGAAGTAACCAGAACAACCGCAAGTTCGGGGTTCACAACTGAATTGGCACGCTCATAGACAAACAATGACCGCGACACTATTCCTCGTACGTCTCGCTCTGTCTTGTTTCTCCAACGGAGACAAAGTCAGTAACTCGTTTATCTTATTGTCCATTAGCGAGGACATGGCGTCTCTGCACTGAAATCGAGGATGACCGTCAGCAAGAAGGCATTGCGATGGCAACTCGGTCCAGGCCAAACGGTAGGAAGTCAATAGGTTGATGAGAGCTCGAGTGTACCTTGACATCGTTGAAAATATGCGGTAGCGCTACTCGGCCTCGTGGACTTCGGAGATGCTGAAAAGGTCCAAGAGCTCGTTGATCGAGTCCCCGTTACCGTGGTGGCTCTTTGGGACTGCGGGGTTGGTTGCCACGACGCTTACAGTTGGTGCAGCAGCTCGACTGACCCGAACCGGGGCATCAACACTGTACTGGAAACCACATTTCTTGCACTTGCCCCAGTCGGAAGACGACTGGCACAAGGAGTTCAATGTGTATCGTGACTTCTGTAGTCGCTCTCAACGCACGCCAATGGTACGTGACGGCCCTTGTCCTTGTATCGACACGATCTCGTAAGAGTTGACATGACTGACTGACTGTGGGGAACTAGACGCTTGAGGACTTTAAACGCAACTACAAGTGGGAAGCAGCCCACCGCAAACTGGGGCAAGTGACGGCGCTGTCGTTTCTGGGTCCGTTGGCGTATTTTGCCATGAAGAAGAAGCTGCCGGTTCCCGCTCAAGCTCCATTGGCTTTGATTGCGGGCCTGGGTGCAGTCCAGCTGTATGTGGGTCGAGCCATGGTGGAGCACAATGTGCGTGGAAGCGGCCAGCACGACCAAGACGCGACTTTTGACGGAGCGACGTTTTTCCTTCCGATTCACGTACGTACCCAAGTGCAACTACTATAACATGTACCACCGAGCTTGCTCACATCTCAAGGTGTGTATCTATCTAGTCGGCCTTGTCGCTTGCGAACTTTTCCCTCTTGGTATGGACGGGATTGGGGATTGTCTCGCCCATTTCACGGGCCATCTCGGTGCGTGGCCTCATGACTCCTGGTGTCCTGCAAGAGCTGGGCCAAGTCCGCAAACACTTTGTGGCATTGACTGGTCTAGCTGCGGCCACGATCTTTGCCGGTTCGTTGGTGGCGGAGATTGACGGCGGGCGGGAGTTTCAAACGTTTCCCAAGATGGGCGACCGGTGGATTCCCCACGGACTCTTTGACCAAAAGGTAGGAGATGCATGGGATTGTCCTAGGTCTGTCAGGGTCTCGAGGTATGCATGGACTGAGTGGGTGATTGGTTATGACTATGTGACTGAAGCCATGGCTGCGCAATTTCCACGATAACGTGGCACTTGTGCAGCTGGACCACCGCCTTTTGGCGCTGGGGACTCTAGCTGCTTATACTACAGTGTTTGTCAAGGCTCGCAAAGCCCGGATCTGGTCGAACCTCCCCGAAGACGCCAAGCGCGCCATTATGGTGACAATGGCAGCAGTGGGCGGCCAAGTGGCGATGGGCGCGACGATGCTCGTGAATGAGGTGCCGACGCCGCTGGCCATGGTGCACCAAAGCGGTGCAGCACTTGTACTGGGCTCGTCACTGTGGGTCCTGCATGCGCTGCGCTTTGCTCGTCCAGGGGGACTCATGGGCGCAGCAGTGGCGACCGCGGCTGCCAAGATGGCGTGAGGCGCGTGGTAGTTGAAGTGCAAATCGGGAAATGACGGCGCGCGACGCGTTTGATTGGTGGATAATCGCATTTCTTTTTCATGTTGCCGTCTCCGCATTTTGTGTTTGGCATGAATCGGTCCATTGATCATACGCTGCTCAAGGTAGTTGCCGTCGTCTGGTTGTGTGATGAGACAAGTTGCCTTTGCTGCGGGCTTGCAGTGGTATTAACCCTACTGTCTGGTCACTAGGCGGAGGCTCAACCGTCTCAGATTGAAACGTTGTGCCACGAAGCGACTCGCTTTGCCTTCTATTCCGTATGCGTCAACTCGTGCTACGCTGCACTCGCCCGAAAGGTGGCTACAATAAAAAAAGAAGCACTGATTATGCTGCATCAAAAATAATGGAACCAAACTGACGGGTTTTATGTTTACAGACACTTGATGACCTGGAAAAGTGTCGTAACAATGTTGGTAGTATAACTAGTGACACTAGGAAGTCTCATGTAAAAGTGTGCTGCGTCGTGGGGTTCCCGCTTGGGGCAGCCACCACAACTACAAAAGCCTTTGAAGCCCAGCAGTGTCTCGATGCTGGAGCGGAAGAGATCGATATGGTGCTTAATGTGGGAATGCTACGTGCCCAAGAGTACGACTTTGTACTCGCTGACGTCACTGCTATCGTGGCCGTGTGCAAAGAGCGCAACGCTTTGTGTAAAGTCATTCTAGAGACGGCACTGCTGACTACCGAGCAGATCCGCAAAGCCAGTGAGTTGGCTATTGCAGCCGGTGCAGACTTTATCAAGACGTCGACGGGGTTCTCTACGCGAGGTGCGCGTCAGTAAATGATCTGTCGTGTATTAGCATTTTACTGAAATTTGTAGATCTATTACTCATGCTAGAGTGTGCATTCTCAGGTGCCAGTGAGGAAGACGTGAAGCTCATGGTGAGCATTGCAAAACCTGCTGGGAAACAGGTGAAGGCTAGCGGCGGGATCCGCTCGGCCGCTGACGCGGAGAAGATGATAGCACTGGGAGCCATGCGTCTTGGGACAAGTGCCGGCGTTAAAATTGTCCAAGGCTTGCAGAGCACGGACGCGTACTAGGCCAATTAGCTCCCATCTTTGCTGTGACGGTCGTGAATGCACTCAGTCCGAGCTCCACGATGAATCGAGTAGCTGCATGTCTCCACCCAGGTTCAAGCAGGAAAACAGTCCAGTCTTCTACTAGTATTTGTTCGTCTTGTCGACGAATGCGCCGCTTCTCGTATTTGATGCGCGAGCCAATGACGTGAACCCAAGTGGCCAAGTCACGATCTGATCTGCCAATCAGCCACCTCCAAAGTCACCAGATCAGCTCCAGCAGCGCCTTCCGTTTCTATTTCTATTGCCCGTCGTCAGTATGTCGCCCTCGTCGAAAAAACCCAATGGCAAGCGAGCGACTAAACACGCAACTCACGCTTACACTTCGATGCTCGAATCAAGTCAAAAAGTTACAAAGACCCAGACCCCGCTCTCGCCCGTCCCCCGACTCGCCTCCCGTCTCTTCACGCGATTTCTAACTGCATCCTCCTATTTTTTAATACTCATCCCAAGTCGTTCCCGTTTTCATTCCCCATCCACCGTCTCCGCTCGCCTATTATTTTCCTATTAAAACCCAATAGAAAAGAACAACAACGACCAATAGCGCCGACTGAACATGGCGGCGCCTCCCGTCACTCCTGCTGCTCGCCCGTCCGTCGTCAGTCCAAAGTCTCTCTCCACTCCAGACACGGTCCATGAGCAGACGACGCCGACGCTGCCGCTTACACCTTCGTCTACTATGGACACGTATGCCCCCGATATGACGACGTTATGGCCAGATAGTCGCTGTTATCTCCGCTCGCTGGAGCTGGGGCGGCCCTGTCGCAACGTCTTTAACCTCGAACCCACGGCCGTTTTTCTCAATCATAACGCCTATGGCGTTGCTCCGAAACCCGTGATGCAGGCCCAGGCCCATTTTGTCAATAAGATGGAGATGAACCCGGACCGGTTCATGCGACGGGAAGCTCCTACACTCTTGCGTCAAGCGGCGTCGTACTTAGCACGGTTCATCCAGGCCGAGGCCGAGGACCTCGTTTTTGTGACCAATGCCACCACCGGCATGAATGCGGTGCTGCAGTCGCTTGATTTGCAGAACGATGACGAAGTTTTGTGTCTAAACCTCACGTGTACGTTGTTGTTTGGATAGAAATGGGTACATTTCTGTCACCGATGAGGTTTTATTTATTTTCTGACGAGGCAATTATTGTTATGGTTTTTATTGTTATGGTTATTATTGTCATGGAACTTTGTGGGTGGCCTGTAGACTCGGCGGTGCTTCATACGCTTCGGCATTTGTGCTATTGTACACAAGAGTTTGTGGAGCTGAAAGTCGTAGATGTCGAGCTGCCTATTGAGAGTTATGACACACTGGTTGAGCTGGTGGTGGATGCGATTACGCCCAATACGCGCTTGGCTGTGCTCGACCATATTGCGAGCACCACTGGGTTCGTGCTGCCATTGGAGAGGTTGATCCCGATTTTTCATGCTCGGAAGATTCCCGTGTTAGTGGATGGAGCCAGCGCGCCTGGGCAGCTGCCGCTGAATCTGAATGAACTGGGGGCGGACTTTTATGTGGGTACAGCGTACAAGTGGCTATTTGGCTGCAAGTCGTGCTCGTTCTTGCACGTGAGCAAAGCGTACCAAAACACAGTGCGTCCAGTCGTGACGTCGCTTGCCTATGGCCAAGGCTTTGTCGAAGAGTTTGCGATCCAGGGCACACGCGATGAAGCCAACTTCTTGACGATTGTATCGGCGCTGGACTTTTACGAGAGTGTGGGCGTGAGTCGCGTGTATGCGCACAACAAGTCGTTGATTGACTGGGCTGGCGAGTACTTGGCGACAACGTGGAAGACTAATGTGTTGCTACCGACGTGGCAACGGGCGCCGTTTGTCTGCAACGTGCGGATTCCCGTGGAATGGCCGACAACGTCGGAAGGCAAGCCCATGTCCCATGACGAAGCCATGCCTCTATGCGATGCCATTATGGACTTTTTGGACGACCAGTACCGAATTGTCGTACGCGTGGTGCCGTTCCAGAACCAACTGTATGCGCGGATCAGTGCACAGATGTACAATGAGCGCCGAGATTACGAGCAATTGGGGCAAGCAATGGTCGAAGTTACGAACACGCCGACGTTGGACGACTATCTCACGCGACTACGACTATGACTAACGCACGTACAATAAATGTATCATTATATCATGAAAGGTCAGTCACGTCACGATCCTGTCAGTCCATGTGATGGCTACATCGATACATCATACGTATGCGAGGGTTTCGAAGGCAAAAGCATCATACCGGCTGATTCCGACAAGTGTCTCATTTTGACCAATCATAAAGACCACCGTCGTCAACTTTCTGCGATACCTAAGCGAGAAAAACCCAAGAGCTACGTAAGTGAAAAGAGACCATCCACACACATCCACACACCACGTTTGACTCGACACAAAAGTCGTCCAGTTGTGGTTTTAGAAGCCAAAAGTGCTGCGCGACGTCAAGTCGTTCTCTCGTACAAGCTCATTCTTGTTCTTGTTCTCCTTCTTGCTGTTGCTCTTGTTTTGTGTGGTGCTAGCTAGCCTCATGACGGACCAAATCACGACCATGGAGGGCGCTATTCGCGCAGCAGAGCAGACGCTGGAGCACATTTTCAACCCCAACTTGGAACAAGACAAGCGCATTCCAATTGATCTTCTCCACGAAGCCAAAGGCTTGGCTTTTCTCACGGTGATCAAGATTGGCTTGATCTGGACTGGCAAAGTGGGTACAGGCGTCGTGATCTCGAAGCTGCCGGATCGACGATGGTCAGCTCCTAGTGCCATTGGCACAGCTGGCATGGGCTTTGGGGCTGAGATGGGTGCGCAGTTGATCGAGTTTATGATCATTCTGAACTCGGACATGGCGGTCAAGAGCTTTATGCAGAAGGGACAGCTCTCAGCTGGTGCTAATTTGGAGTTTGCAGCTGGTCCCTATGGTCGTGCAGCGGGCGCGAATGCCAACTTTAGTGCCTCGGGCATTGCGCCCAACTATACCTATAGCCACAGCAAAGGCCTTTTTGGCGGGGTGGGCTTGCAGGGGTCGGGCATTGTGGCCCGTGCGGACATTAACAAGAAGTTTTACGGTCGCGAGATTACCCCGACGGAGATTTTGACGGGAGCTGTCGACCAGCCAGCTGCGGCCTCACAATTGTATGATGCACTGCAGCGCATTGTGAGCATCCCGCCGTCAGGCAATGTGCAGAACCTGAAGCAGAAGCTCATGTCGCCGTTTACAGACCGGATGCCTGCAGCTGCTGTTGGACCGGATGTGCAGCTTGTATACGACCGTGTCGTGCGACTCATTGAAGGCATTTCAGGCGCTACCGGCGTGGACGAGTTCAAGACGAGCTGCAAGGACTATGGCCAGAACCGCTGCACGGACGACGAGTTTGTCAATTATCTGAGCAGCAAATTTACGGCTGCACAGACGCTCGAGCTGTTGCCGGAAATTGTCAAGCTTCTGCAGGATGCCAACAAGCGGAAATTCGTCTGGGTACGTCTGCATCAGCGGGTGTACTTGAGGTTGCGTTGAGCTGTTGTGTCGCTGACTCAAGAAGTATTTGTTTGATGGCTTGAACAGGAGTACTACCTCAAGGTCAAGTCGCAGTCGCGATCGACCAGAAACGCGACGTCGCCCTCGCTGTTTTGAGATGCGGAGGCTTCCTAGGTTTCCGTAAGAGTACATGCTTCTGACCGCGCGGACAGGAGCCAGATTGCATAAAAAGAAGTGTGACCACCAGAGTCGTACGCGTTGGCTGTACGCCGGTATGCCTTGATCAACTGCGTATAATTAAGGTAGCATCTGACTGCTACAAGCTTGCTGTCTGAGCGTTCTCGACACAGGGTTGGTTGCATGGCTGTTTCCTCATCGGCTCACACTTCGTTTTCGGTCCTGCTTGCGTGCTTCACTGCGTGGCTGAAAGTAGCGTCCAAACTCGCGGTCGAGAGGGTCCACAGAGGAGTCGGCAATCGCATCGACAACGTGTGGAAGTAAAGGTGAGTCATCCATCCGGGAAGGCTCTTCTTCGTCGGAAGACAACACCGATGAGTGCGTCCACCAAGAGCAAAACTGATCTTTGTACGCCTCCACCGAGTTCTTGTTCATGGCGTACGACACAGCGTTCAGCAACGGCAGCAGGGGGTCGCACACGCTTTCCATCACAGTCAGGAACTCGTTCGGCGTATGGTCTCCGCGGAAAAATTGCACTAGTCGGTTCGTCACACCCCAAATCGAGCACAGAAACAACGTTCCCAGATACAGCTTTACTTTCTCACGAAAGTGTGGCGCCATCGGATCCATGTGCAAGAACTTGAGAATCTTGTGGTAGATCCCTACGTTGAAGACAATTACACCCACGATAGGTACGTAGAACAGCACGAGCTGCTGCAGAGCTCCTTCACGTCGCCAGAGAAACGGGTCTTCTCCCGCTTCTTCAAGCGTCGAGTGGACCGCGATCCAACACCATCGACGATCAGCTCCACCGACTCCGATATGTCCCGTCAATTGGCGGAGCACTAGATAAACCACCACTAAGCCAGGCAGACCCCACCCAACAGCACGATATCTCCACAAAAACTCTTCTGGGTACTCGTTCCTGAACAATAAAAGCAAAGCGTAACCCACACCCACCCATGAAAGTTTTCAGGGTTACTGTGTAACCACTATCCATAGCCCCACAACGAGGTTTTTCTCTCTTTTTTTCCAGCAAGAACGTACCTCATGACAATGATCTGGTAGAGATTAAATGCAAAGCAGGCCGTCCAGAGGTACGACGCCAAGTAGAAATACTGCAGCGTGAATGCCTGTACATAGCACAGTCCTTCATGCTGGCGATAATGCTGTCCAGCGCCATTGACCACGAGGGACCTAAAACACGACAGTAACCAAAACCGTAACCCATTGTGAGTTAGAAAAAACCTGTGCACCAAATGCCTAAATTAGGACGGATCGGTCCACAGACATGGCGAACGCGATGGAAGTGAAGAGACCGGCGAGGCCTATGGACGTGACGATATGGAGTCGAATGTGCGTTGGCGTTTCCACGCGCTTCCACGTTGCCAATAGAAAGCCACAGCCCGCACAGGACACGCACGCCGCTAGTAGCAGGAACACGTCTTGCACCAGCACCATCCTAGTTGAGCCTGGCTTGTCACTTGGCTCATTTGTGTGTACCACAAAAAGCAAGGATCTCTTAAAAAACAACGTGTTACGAAATGATTGTCTCCATGCCAAAAACATCGACCATCATTCTGTCCTTGATGTCTATTTGTCACATAACGATAAAAAGCAGAATCAAGAAAAGCGACCGACGTAGCCATGCCGTCGCTTGCTGCGTCCCCTGCGAAAGCCGATACCACCGCTGCTGTCATGGACACACTACTGCTCCAGTATCTACAGACAAGAGGATACCATGTCTATAAGGGGGAAGACGGGCGTCCTCCTTTTGCTACGGAACCGGCTACACCTCCCGACGACGTGAGCCTTGACAGGTACGCACGTCAATTAGGGTTAACAACCGAAGCCTGTGCAGCGAACCACTTGGTACGTTGAAACTGAGCTGAAAAAAAGTAATGAGATAAAAAAAGCGGTACACTGTACCCTTGTCCTAGTTTAGGTAGTGTCGATCTTTGTCGAAAGGACACGATCGGGATGGAGCCATTTTTGAATGGCTACAGAACTGAATATAATGCTCACACGCACATTGTTATGTGCTGCAGCTGTTTCATGGACTCACGGGCGGAAATCCGGCAACATATGACGAGGCATACCGGAAACTGATGGACTGGATCTGCAACTCGTTGGACATGTACCGCAACGAGCTGCACGCAGTGGCGTTCCCGGTTTTTGTCCACTGCTACTTGGAGCTGCTAGCAAAAGGGTTCCTGGACGTGGGCAGAGAGTTTTTCCATCGACACGCACGCGATCATACGAGACTGCACTTGGAAGAGCTGCGAACGCTGAGTCTCGTGTTCACACCGCAGCAGTTGCAAGAGAACGAATACGTGCGGGAGGTCCTTCATAGCAAGTTTAACGTGGAGATGAGTCTGCTGTCTTTTGAGCTGCTGAACACGTTCTTGAGCCAAGAACAGCTGTTTGTCTTGCTATCGATTGTCAATGAGCGGATGAATCTGGTCGTGACGTCAAATCAGCCGGGTATACAGATCCAACAGCTCCAGGATGCTGCTGCAGTTGGCGTGCTGAATAACATGGAGCCAAAGAACAACGCAGCGAGTGGATTCAAGACGTCTGATGAACTTGCTTTGGCTGTTGCTACGTCGGATGAACCAAGGGAGAGCGAGGTTGCTATGCCGTTGACGACTGGCCCCTATGATGTAGATTATATGGTGCGCACTGCTGGCGGGAACGCTGCTGCAGCGATTGAAAGGATGGGCTACACAGTGCAGGATCTTAATGCTATTCCTGTCAACTGGGGAGTCTTTGCGGAGCGCAAAGTGCACGACCCTGTGATAGACGAAGGAGAAGAGAGTGCCGGGATGGGAAAAGAGTTCAATGCGAATGTAAGTGTTGCAGGAGGGAATAGTACAGCGAGTGGTTCTGGCGGAGTGCACGAAGCCGATGGCGACAAAGCAAACGGTGCGGACAACTCAAAAGATAAAGGCAAGGTGATTGGACTGTCCGCAGATGTAAATCGCAAACACAAGCGTGCAAAACTGTCGAGTGATGGCACGGTGGGCATGAAAAAGGAAGTACTGGAGGAGACCGGTCCGCTTCCGAATCGAACCAATGCTTTTAACGTGGAAGTGCTGGAGAAACTTGTGCTTCGCACTTCATCTACTATGAAGGAGCATAGTCTCGAGGACGTCCGCGCTCGTGCAGCAGTAAGCCGCAGTGCACTTCCATCGGCCCTTTGTTTTACGTTGCTGAATTCGGCGACTCCTATCAACAACATGTGCTTCAGCGACGACGTCACAATGGTGGGTGCGGCATGCGACGACGCCTCTTTTCGAGTTTGGCGCAACGACGATCAACCTCTAGGAACCGCCACCGGATCTACATACCAGGGCAACCAAGGGTCGCTTCACGCCGATACAGAGGAAGACGAGAAAATGGCCGTACTTCGTGGCCACACTGGTGCTGTATACGGCGCAAGTTTCTCACCTGACAACCGGTTCGCGCTCACGGCGTCGGCTGACTCCACGGTGCGTTTGTGGAGTATGGCTGCGAAGAGCAACTTGGTTGTGTATAGGTCCCATCACGGATCTCCAGTGTGGGACGTCACCTTTGCTCCGCTCGGCTACTACTTTGCGACCTGTTCGATGGACCGGACTGCACGGTTGTGGAGTACGGACCACATGACACCACTGCGCATCTTTGCCGGCCATTTGTCGGATGTGGACTGTGTGCGATTCCATCCGAACCACAACTACCTGGCCACGGGCTCGAGTGACAAGACTGTCCGGCTGTGGGATGTGCAATCTGGTAAATGTGTCCGAGTGTTTACGGGCCACTTTCGTGGAGTGCAATGCCTTGCGTTTTCGCACAACGGTCGGTATCTCGCAAGTTCAGGCGAAGACCAGTACATAAATATTTGGGACCTGCACGCTGGCAAACGTTTGGAAACCCTAATGGGCCATAAGGCCATGGTCACTTCGCTGGATTTCAGCCAGGAGAGCACGATTCTAGCGAGCGGTGGCATGGACTCGACTGTGCGTTTTTGGGATATGAAGGCGCTCGCTGAGAAGCCCGCGACGTATTCAGCGCTTTCAGGAGCGATGAAAGATTTGCACGTGAGTTCGTCCGATGCAGGCGTGCTGAACGGCGGCACTCGACTTTCTGGTCGTAGCCGGTTTGTCAAATCCATGTCGACAGTACGACAAGGCGCCGTGCAGGAGTTGCCGTCGTCCCGCTTCCTGCTAAGAACGCTGCGCTCGAAGCAGACGCCCATGTATCGCGTTCAGTTTACTCCGCGCAATCTGTTACTCGCTGGCGGTGTATTCCAGCCGAAAATGGAGTCATAGCTGCAAGCAGTCGTGCAAGAACATTCACCAACGAGTTGATTAAGGATGAAAGCTAACGCGGAACTGCTTCCTCGCTCGTCAAAAAGCCTCCACTGCGTTGGCACACGCGCCTTCCGTTATGAACTTACTCTGCCTCCAACAACAACTTGCTCGTCTCGTTTGCAGCACGTACCTACGTCCCCTTTCGACCGACAAGAGCTGCTCCTGCCAACACCATGGCAACCATTGCAAGTCCCGTCGTCAGGCACTTTGTTGCCTGCAGCTGTTTCTCCACAGCCTCGACCCGGTCGAGGGCACCACCAAGAGAGCGAGCTGCATACTTGCCCAGCACATCTGGTTCCAGGTTGACGTGGTCGCCCACTTTCTTGAGCGGGAGAATCACGTGCTGTTGCGTGTACGAGATGAGCATAATGGAGAACCAGCCGTTCGTGCGATCGACGTCGCACACAGTGAGGCTCGTGCCGTCAATCGCAACGTAGCCTTTGGGTACAAGGTCGTGCAAAATTGCAGAGGGGGTCGAGATCTTGACCCAGAGCGAGTCGTTCTCCCGCGTGAAAGACTGGATGACACCCGTTCCGTCCACATGACCCTGGACAAAGTGGCCGCTATTGCGTGCGTCCACGCCCATACTGCGTTCGACATTCACCTTGTCTTCAGGATGGAGGGCACCCAAATTTGTCCGACGAAGTGTCTCGGGGGCGACCCCAAAGGTCAAATTCCGGTGGTTCTGGTTGATATTCGTGACGGTCAAACACGTGCCATTGATAGCGATGCTGCAACCTTCATACGCGCCTTCAAGCGCCACAGTCACAGCCACCACCAGCTCAAAGCCCGTGCCTCGCTCCCCGTTCCATAGCAGAAGGTCCTGACGCTCCTGCATGGACACGACCGTGCCGATCTCTTCGATAATGCCAGTGAACATGTTCCAACGTGTCTTGGGTTCAGAAGTTTGATAAATGAGCTGCTGGGATGAGTGAGAGAGGGTGCGTCGGACTGGTCGTTAAGTACGCAGCTGCAGGGTGACACTCTGATGCGCCCATGTTGACGTGACGTTTCTAGGTCGGGTCGTGTAGGTTACAACCTGGAAACGTGATGTACAGACCGAGTGGAAGCCAAGCGGAGGAGAATACGACACACTTCATTAGAGCTTCTGTTCATATCTAGCAAGTTGAGACATCGAGTAGAATCTCCCCATGCGTAAACGTCAACAATATCCGCCACAATAATTGTCATTGCCCGGCATCCGTGCTGGTCCGACCTTCACCTCGATCGCACGCAGTTGACCATTTTTCCTCGCTTCTTCAGGCCCCTCTTTCCAAATCAAACGGTCGGATGACGTTCCTGCTTCCAGGAAGAAAAGCTGGTGCTTGCCTTCAACGTCCGTACCAAGTTGACACGCAAAGACCGAGTTTGTAATGCCATTCGCGCCAAAGCCAAGTACATCCATAGTCTCCCCGCCTTCTTTGAGTCGGACGAGGCCACCTCCAGTTGGAAAGAGCCCGGACTGAACAATGCTGACCCAGATGCACCCTTCCGCATCGAGACAAATACCGTCAACGGGTGAGCCAACGGGTGCCCACACGCGGCGGTTCCTGAGCCTACCGTCCGGATCAATATCGTAAGCTGTCAGTCGCCCTTCAAACGTCTCGCCAACAATCAGTGTCTTGCCATCAGGGGTGATCACCATTCCATTCGGGAACACCACGCCGGTGGCTTCCACACGAACAGTGCCGTCCGTGCCAATGCTCACAATCGTAGAGCTTCGCATGGACTGCATGTCGTCAAAGTGGAAGCCAAAGCTACCGACATAAGCGCGACCTGAAGTCGCTACGACCATATCGTTGACTCGAACGTGCGTCACGTCCTTCACGTCCGCGTACACCTCAGTCGTATCAGCTGCCTCGTCGTGAACAAGCACCTGTCGTTTCTTCATGGACGAAATGAGGAGCCGTCCATCAGGTAACCAGCCCAGACCCGAGAGCAGATCTTCCGAGTCGTGGTACACCTCCGTCTTCTCGCCAGTTGCTAACGAATACTTGATGACCTTCTTGTCGTGCATGTCGCTAAAGTAGAGCTCCTTCGTTGCGATCCGAAAGCGAGGCCCCTCTCCAAAGACGATACGGTCCAAAAGCGTTCGTGCCGATGCTGCATGAGCGTTCTTCGTCCAGAGTTTGCGCTTCAGCCAATACCCGAGAAAGCGCAAGGGGAACACGAGCATCCGGACATTCGGAGCGACTTTGGGAAACAGTTCCTCCTCCTGTCTCGTCATTCCAGCTTCAGAGGACGTTTCCATCGCAGAGTGAGCGTGGTTCCCGGACTGCAATGATGGACAAGACGTTGGTGCTGCTACTGCTGCCGATAACGGACGCTGGACAATGTCACACCCAACGTGGAAGAGCAGAGAAGAACGACCACGTACTTCACGAACGGTCGCTTTGAACCAACACATCAATCGGAAAAACTGCTGCTTCGACTCTCCGATCTACTGCAGGGCATCCGCCTATCGCGAAGGAAAAACGAAGTAAACCAAGACACGGATGACCAAGAGGTTGACTCACCAGTCTTTGGGGCACCACGTGACTATCAAGTAGCTGGTAAAAATGCTGCTCGCTCGGCAATGGACGGCCATTGTAACCCGTCTACTCAAGGTCTATTGGTCTCTGGTAAACACGCACTGGAGCTCTTCGGGCTTCAATGACCGAGGATTACTGCGTGAACAACTCTTCGATGGTCAGCCCCATGGTGGTCACTCTGCCACCACCAGTGAGCCCTCCCACAAGAGGCGAAGCATCTTCCTGCACCTTTCTCGGAAAACACGATCCACCATCGTCCCGATCGTCCGAGCTCTTCATGTGGTCAGCTTCCCCGACTTGACACTAGCACACGAGGCAAAGACGTTGACTCCAGCTCGGCAAACTGCCACATCACCATCCTAACCACGTGGAAGCTCGGTTTGCATGCCACACATTGCGCACCTTCCTCCTCGAATCAACGTGTTTGGTGCCATCCCATGCACCGCTCTACTTCAGAAATGCCCCCAGCTCGTCGTCTTGCTCACCAAGCGGTCTCGTAAGAACGACGTGCCCCAAGTCCCACTGCCAACAGCATCTCGATAGTCGCAATCAAGCAAGCTCCGCAACTTCAGGAAGTTCCTTCCGCTGTCCGATATCCCGCATGGATTTCGAGAACGACTCGGGTATTCTCGGTCAGCACTTCTTGTCATCTTGCACGCACTTGTGCTCTTGAACTCTCCTCCGCACATACACTAGTAGCACCCAAGCCATAGCCGATGATGACCAAGCTTCCTCTCGAACATCCTCCATTTCCACCCCTTCATCTAGTCGAGAGTGACAAAGACACCGTCGTTGACCTCGCCAACATCGTCGTGACTGAGGCGATCGAAGACTACGAACTGCACTTCTCTAACCACCACGGACTTGTCGATACGACGCAGTGGGTCCGAGTCAAGCAAGTTGACGACAACCTGGTCGTGTACCAGGACCGCCAAGCCCTGAAAGAGCGTCGATTGTCCCGTGTCAATCGATCGCGTCCTTCCGTGGTCCTCAAGAGCAGCGAAATCCTCAACTTGCTCTGGTTCGGGACGATACGGGGTGACCTGGACGACGTCATGTGTGCAGTCGTGAACCGCACCGCAGAAGAAGCCAAGGTCAAAGCAGCTTTCACGGAGAGCACGATGCTGGACTTTGCTGTCCTGGAGACCCTCGTCCACCCGAAAGCGTACGACCCGTTCCGGAGCGTGCAAGTGAAGTGGACAGTCAATGCCGGTCCAGCTCTCATGCGGTCGGTCGTGCGCTGTCGAGACTTTGTCTACCTCGAGTCCACGGGGATGACAACCATGTCCACCGGTGAACGCGTCGGGTTCCAGCTCCTCCATAGTGTATCGATCCCAGCAGCTCCGGAACTCCACCAGTACAAGTTCGTCCGGGGCAACATGACGCTCTTCCACTTGTTCCGACAACAGAGTGACGGGGTCATCGAGACGTACGTGAAAGCGTTCGTTGACCTGATGGGCGATATGCCCCTCCGAGTCGCTACGACGCTGGTCACAAGCGGGATGGTCTCGGTCTCGAAGCTAGCCGAGTACGCGCTAGCGAAGAAGCTCAATTGGCAGCTCAGTCAGCGACGAGTGATCCTCCCCAGCAATCGGTCCAAGTTCTGCCACGTCTGCTGTAAACTCCTCCAAAGCAGCATCATGCGACGACGGACGTGCAAGATCTGTATGAATCGATGCTGTGCACGTTGTTGCGTGTCGAAGAAGCTGTTCTTCACGTCCCCACAGAGTCGAGAAGTCGTGCAGAAGACTGCAATAGCGTGCAAAGAGTGCATTCAAGTTGCGGCGGCCCGAAACGGATTCGATGTTGCACGGGATGAGCTCCTGAAGAGCGATCGACAGGCTCAAGCATACCTGTACTGGTCCACTGTCTCGCCAACATCCTCGACATCGTCCATGAAGCTGTAGATAAAGGGGATCGACTCGTATTAAGACATCCATGCAACAGGTTCCAACGCTGGTAAACAACCAACTGAGTCGCGATTGCGGCATGCACCGGTAGGGGTAAACCGCCCACCTGGACTCAAGGCTGTGGTTTCTATCAACGTGCCGTTGTGACCACCAACTACATCGGGTCCAACAAGCACAGGCCAAGCTGAATGGCTCCACACCCGCTGGTCAACACCGAATCGACTCGACGCCAAGTGGTGACACGGTATGATGTCAACCGGAGTTGACTTCAGTCTCGAGTTGGAAGCAGCTGATGGCCCCCCGTTCGCACGGTGGACAATGACTGACCAGCTACAAATGGGCACTCATACGTAAGTACTTGAGCCTGACCGGTGAATTAGCAACAGTGGTGACGTGAGTGTGTGTGTGTGTGTGCACTTCTTGCTCCCATCTGGATCGAGAGGATGTATCGGCACTGAGTGCGTCTTTGCAGTCAAGATTGACCCCGTCATGGGAAGCAAGTCCATCGACATCCCCGTAGTCAAGTTGAGCGTCAAGCAGCACCTCTCTACAACAACTAGACAGTCAGTTGAGCCTCGAATAGCTCCTCGTTTAACATACGAGGAGCTATGTCTACTGTCGTCGTCGTCGTCGTCATACCTTTCGACGTGGTCGACTGTCCTCGAGTCTTATCCCTGATCAGGACCGACGTTCAGCTCCTTCGAAACGGCCATCGTCTGCCAAACGACTGCAGTCGTCGTCGGAAGAGAGACCAAAGACCGAAGACCGACCGAGCACTAGCGGAGATTTGCTTGCATCTCCCGCGCGTACGACCCCGTCATTTTGCATTTTGCTTCGTTCGCGAGCCATCCGCAAAGCAGCAAGGAAGGAAGGAAGGCGAACGCACACAAACAAGCAGCATGAAGTTCCCCTTGTCAACGTGTCCATTCCAGCCCCTCGAGCTCTCGGAGCGCGAGAAAAGTGCGCTCAAGTCGCTGTCGGATGACGTCCTGGTTGAAACCATGATCGAGTATGAAAACATGCTCCTGTACGAAAACGGCGTCGTGGATACCGAACGGTGGAAGCCGATGAAGCGGAAGGAGAACCTCACGGCTTACCAGGATCGCTGTGCCCTAGCAGTCTCGATCAAAGCTTCGACCAGCATTACCAAGCCCATGTCCGTCGAGAGTTCGGACAACCCGGGCTCGCCTTTCCATTCGGCGTTCAGTGCGTCGTCAACCAAAGGTCTCGCAGAGAGGGTGTTGTGGCACGGCACGATCAATTGCGACTTGGATGACCTCATGCTCGGAGTGACGAACCAGAGTGCCGACATGTGGAAGATCAAGTCATCCTACATCGAGGATAACGGGTTGGACTACTTCCTCCTCTCGTCGATCACCGAGCGCACGGTTGACAAGCCGTTTGACGGTCTGCAGGTCAAGTGGACCGTCAACGACATGGGGCCAGTCATGGCCAAGTCGCTCATGCGACCTCGCGACTTTGTGTTCCTGGAAAGCACGGGGATCACGCACTCACCTGCAACAGGTGAGCGAATGGGGTACTACATCTGTCAGTCTGTGGAGTTCCCGGGGGCTCGAGAGCTACCGGAACACAAGCTCGTGCGTGGCAAGATGGAGCTGTACCACATCTTTCGACTCAAGAGCAAAGGCGTCGTTGAAGTCTACGTGCGTGCACGGTACGACCTGCGAGGGGATCTGCCGTGCACGAGTGTGTCGCTCTTCTCGGCTGAAGCCATGTCGGCGCTTTCGCTCACGGCATCTTTCGCCGAGAGACGGAAGGTCATGTGGCTGCTCTACAGGCTGGAAGCGGGCGAGAGTGACGAACCGCCTTTTGATCTATGCAGTGTCTGCATGAAGGACTTGAGCAAGAGCTTGCTACCATTTATGAACAAGGCGTGCCGGATCTGCTCCGGTCGGATCTGTTCGCGATGTCGGATCCCGAAAAAGCTGAGCTTCCTCAGTCGACGGACTCGAGGGGTTGTCAAGAAGACTATCGACATTTGCACGCGCTGTGTGCACACTTGTGCTCACACGAGTGCAGTGACGGTGGCTCAGGGGGAGCTATTGCTGGAGAACCCGACGTCGATCCTGTATGAATCCGCGGCGACTCAGAACGTGTCGTATATATCGTTGTTGTCGGAGGGGTAGAAGACTATCGATCATGTCCGTGCTTGCAGGTTGTAACAGTACTTGCTACATGCGTCCGCTGCTAAGTACATTCGTATCAAAGAGCTGAGCTCTTCGGACGTGAGGGGAACAACATGTCAACCGTTATACATTGACCGTGTGCCAGTTCTTACCACGTTGTTGGTGCAGAGCTACACACCTTAGCTGCAGCCTGGACAGTTGTGCAGCGAATCGTGCACGTACAAATCGCACTCGTTGCAGAACACGCGCTGGCACGTCGCGCACTCGTACGCAGCACCTTCGCCATCCAGTCCTAGCGGCAGCAGACAGCCAAAGCACTTTTCCTGAACCAATGACGGCGTGACTTTCGCGCCCTGCTCGCCAGTGACTCCAGACCGCAGCAAGTGCTGCGTAAACTTTGCAACGGGAAAGAGGTGGTGATACGACCGCGCAAGGTGCGGCGACGACACGAGCGGCAGGTTGCACACTTGGCACGTTGTTGGCAGGTCGCAGCTCTTGGACTTGCACCGCGGACACAAGTACCCGACGGTTGTAAACGCTTGGTGGCACGTACAGAGCGACAGAGCACCACTGCGACGCTGCGGGAACCCCATTTCCACTAACGTGGCAAAGCGCGAGGCTGCCGTGACGACCGTAGGCGATGGAAACGTGAACGCCGTCATGAGCTTCTTCATGTGTTCAGCATCCACTGCAACATGGTACGTGCCGTCAGTGCCGTCTGCAATGCGCCGCAGCAAGTGCATCTCGGCCCCAATGCCAACGAACGACACGCGGATGTTCTCCCGCTTGAGGGAAAGCAGCGTCTGGAAGATATCGCCCGGATCAGCAGTCACCAAGTTGCCATACACCACGATCACCTCTCGACTGCCATAGGCTGGCACGGTTTTCAACGAACTCCTGGCAATTTCAAGAGCATTTTGCAGCGACGGCTCTGTATCCACAGCCAAAGCAGCAGCAATGCGTTCCATGTGCGTCTTCGGGTTCCCGGACAATTCACTCAACTTCTCGGCCGTCATGCCTTTGATCCCAATGACCCCCAACTGCGAAATCGGGTTCTGGTCAAAATAGTCCTTCACAAATTGCTGCAATGCGTCACTTGTGCAGGCTAATCGATGTGGTTTCCAGTCTTTTGTAGCCATTCCGCGGGATAAGTCCATGACCACATATGTATACCGGATAAGTCCCTTGCGCACGTTCCGTGCAATTTCCAGTCGACTGAATACAATACAAACCAACATTTGGTCCAGCACAACCAACATTTGGTCCAGCAAGACCAAAAAAAGGTACAGCATGAGCAAGACGAACACAGGACAGTGTTGTGTGTGTATACGTATACAAAAAGTACTGCTTTAGCACAAACACAACCGCTGCCGCTGCTGGTTCTTCACGGTTTGATCGATCCGGAGGTTCCCCGCGTCATCTTCTTCAATGACGTCCCAGCTGCGCTCGAGCGCGCCTTCCCACGCATATCCGGATGATGCTGTGCATACAAAGAACGAGTTAAACGAGAGTATACAGATGTGTATAGTCCTCGGAGCTCCTAGACATTATTGGTCACCTTCTTCCTCCATTTGGATCAGTTGTACCACAAATGAGGTACCTACAAAATAGCCATGTTTGATGTAGCCATGGTCGATGTAGCTATGTTTAGGGGAGGGACGTGGGTTCACATGTTATAGACGTTGAAGTGAGCATTGAACCCAAGATGCAAGGCACTTGAGGTATAAGTTAACTTAGAAGGAGGGAGAACGACGGACGACCATACACTATACATGCACGGGACTGCGTCAGACAAAGAACGTCGCGGCGCTGCGTGCTTTTGCCGACGCGAGACCTTGTACTGGACTTTCACACACGGATGAGTACGCGACCGACGGGGACGAAGTCGAAGAAGAAGAAGAAGACGAAGATGACGCTGACGAGGAAGGTGGTGATGGATCCATTTCTGCTGTGCCGAGGGAGAAGACGGACAAGTGCTGCATATCAATTGAGCACCGGTCGCTGTACTGCATCTTCCGAAACCCTTGCGACGTAGGAGGAGTCGACACATCGCTCGAACTGCGAGAAGGTCGGTCACGTTCGCTTGCATTGTCGCTTCCGTGATGTGTGCTTGGATCGTTGTAGAAACTCGAGGCGCTCGCGTTGGTGTATTGGATGTCAAATAACTTCTCACGGACAAAATCGGCGAGTCGAGTCGCATACTCGATGGGAGGCACGGCACTGACGTCGTGGAGGTCTTTGCAGAACAAATAGCCCAAGAACCAACGCTGCACAGTCCAGCGCCAGTTGTAGCGCTGCAACATGTCCACGATACCGACATAATAGATCTCTTTCTCGTCGTGAGACAAGAGCCCGCTGGAATGCACTGCTACTGGATCCAGATCATTCTTGTACCGGACACCGAGGAGGATACTGTAGTCGATGATACCGCGACTGGCAAGGAACACAACGTCACTACAGAGCTGATCTTGCTGCGAGGCCGTGTTGGCATGCGAAAGCGACATCCCCGAGCTGAGTTTGAGGAAATCCACGTCCATCAAAAGCTGACTGATGGTGTTCCTGTGTTTTGCAACGTGGATGAGCCCCTTCATGACCGTTGCGCTCACTGCTTGACGTCGGTCTCGATTGCCCTTGAGATCAAACCGCTGATCCACCGCGCCTTCGTTGAACAAGTTCTGCATCACGACAAAGTACATACGACGTTTGCCAATAGGTAACGAGATCGAGTGACAGCCATAGTAGCGACACAGCATCGACTTTGGATTCGACTGCAAGTACTCGTGGTAGTGTGGCCTGCAAGACGAGAAGAAGAAGAAGAAGAAGTGAGCATAAAGCAGTGAATGTCAGTGCCACATCACGTCACGCACAAGATAGCTCGCAAGGTATCGAACTCCTCTTTCGGCACGCTCTTTACCATGAACTGCTTGTTTGCTATTGCAACAAACGAGCATCAATTAGTTACTTGCAAGTGAGTAGTGCATCACGACGTATCGTACCTGTGAAGTAAAAGATGTTGCCACTCTTGCCTTCTGATCCGTGCTCACTGAGAATGCGAGACGGATCGAAGGACTCGCGGTAAAAGTCCTGGTCAATGTTGAACTGTGCTCGAATCCGGTGGAAGACTTTGGGCGCACAGTCGCGAAAGTTGAGCATCGTGCTGTGCTTCAGGCCGTAGACAAGGACACCCATGCTCTTGACATAGTTGTAGTCGTGGAAGCCAATGTTCGAGTAGAAGCCACCGGCATGCAGTCCAGCAGCGTCGGTATCCGATCCCGTGTGTTCGGCACTTAGACTGAGGTCCTGTGCATCTTTTTCCGCAGCTTGTGCCATCTCAATCGACTTCATAATGCCCAAGGACATGTATCGCATCACGTCCATGCGAAGTTTGTTCGACACGTCAATCTCCTCGCTTGGGTTGCTCAGAGGCACCGACATTGCACCTCTAGATGTAGAACTACGAGCTCCTGCTCCTCCAGCTTCACCTTGGGACATAGCAATACGCGATGCACTGCTGGAATTTCCGGTATCCCTAACAACTTCGTCTTCGCGTTGATCCATCGGCACCCTTAGGACTCCAGCATCCCAGCAGAATAGGGCGAACACGGCCAAGCCCTCAAGCACGAGCGCAAGCTGGTCCAACGTATTGGGTAAGATCTGGCCGAACGCCGTACCGAGCTGCACGAGCGAAATGGACAACGCCACTATCGTATAGACGGCAAACACTCCCAGGTACGGCAAAATCCGCTTGGCCATTCGCCTTGTCGTAGCATGTGCGTGCGTCTCAAGTATTCGCGAACGACGCCAGGACTGGATGAGAGCAAAGCTGATGTAAAGAAGTGTGAGGTGCGCTGGTACGTCAAAGTACAGCATCACGCGGGCCGTGACCGTATCCTGGAACTCCTTGAGCACATATCGAAAGATGAAGCAGTAGATCACCGACGCCGGCCAGGCACAAATGTGGTGCTTGATGTTGTCGGCATTAAATGGTAGGAACGGGTTCGACAGCGAGAAGATCAGGTCGAGGGCCAGCATGAGGAACCACAGCGTCGTGGACGTATTGAAGAAGAAGTAGCTCCAGAAGAAGAAAGACACGTAAGGTTCCACTGGTCGTTCCGAGTCATACCCGAGCTCCTCGTTCGCGACGCGGCTAAGGGTCGCCGATAAAAGGCCATCATCATGATCCGGACCGAGTACAAGATGCCACGCGTGCAGTCCAACGCGCATGATACTTGCGATCGTTAGACTCATGAAGATGGTCATCAGGATGATGCCCGGATGCAGCCTGGAGCTGGGATACTTGACAAAGACAGCGATCATAACTCCAATCGAGACCAGTCCTGCCATCAAGGCCGTGAGCTGCCAGGCGAGATAGAGGTCAGTCATTGTTGAAACCTCGTTGGCAAGTCAAACGTTGCACTGATAAGGCGGCGCAAATGATCGCGCTCGACACGAATGCCACGCGCGACCAGAGCAAGGAAAACGTGGTTCGCACTGCTGTGGCGAGTCGCCAATGAACGTGTAAAGTCAGTCGATCGAGAGAGGAAGAAAGAGCGAGGGGATGCAATGAGGAGCTCTGCAAGCAGCGAAAACGCTTAATGAAGGAGGAAAACGTGCCAGCACGAAGCCAAGTGAGCGTTGCACTGGCTCAAAGCTCAACTGTTTCGTCGACTGCCACCGCCAATACGCGAGGCGTTCCCTTGTCTATTTTTGTGAGCGAAGCGTCTGCCCACGGCATTCAGCAAACGGAGTCGACTCAATCCAAGAGCTAGGGCGTTCGCGTCACGAACGAGGAACCGCCATCTTTTCAGCGACGTTGGCCTTGAAGTAGATGGCGACCATTGTACGAACGAGTGTGTGGAAAGTATGGCACGAACCCACGACAGACAGTCAATGGTAAAAGTCTCACCAGACGACGGCCGCGAACTGAAATGGTACCACGCAGTTGACCATTTGCTTGGGTCGTAGCTCCTGTTGCTGGTCCGTCGCTGGACTTATCTGCTGCAGTTGCAAGACAGGCAGGCGAGAGCAAAGCACGTCGCGCCGACTCGAATCTGCTTTGCGTCCGATAAAGTGACAGTTTGTGGGCGTTTCTTACTGACACTTGGCAGGCAGTTAGTTAGTCGTGTGTATCATCAGTTTGTTCATTGACTCTCGTCCATGGACAGCGCTGTCCTTTGGCTATTGGATTCGTACGTGTAGGCAGTGCATTCAAGCTCTGATGATACCATCTCTAGCGGCATGAAGAGCTACCATTGTTTATTTGCCGACCTGTGCACTTAGCCCCTTTGACTTTGGAGCACTAGCTGACGTCGATGCAAAGGCTCAGTTGGATGGTTGCAGACAACAAGTTTGTCGTTCGGGATACGCTGTCGCTCTTGCCGTCGTTAATGGAGTCGTGGCCATTCGAGTAGTCAAACCTTGAGACGATGACGAAGCAGTCTGCGTGCATCGCATTACTATTACTAGCTATCGTCGAAATAGCCCGACGTGGCATCGCTTCCCGCGCGAGAGAGGTAGATCGACTGGATCTTCTTGGTTGGTTGGTTGCGTAACGCCCTACACCTCCATCCCGGGCGTCGGACACCTTAAAATCTATTACAGTCGGGAAACAGAGTCAGTGCTTTGATCTGTTTTGGTCGGCTCACCGACTGACTGATCGGCTGACTGTCTGCAACGGATACAGGACGTAAGCTCTGTATCGAACGAGACGCGTGGTTCCCATCGCCGTGTACAGATCATTATGACTTTGGGCAGCTTGCGAGGAACTTTCGACGCTTTCGAAGAACGGTCGTAAGGCCGACTTGTCAGCGCTTTTGTTACTGCTATCCCGCCTGGATACTCAGTCAACCTTGTTGGTAGATTGTCGCGACTGCTTTGCTTCGGTGACAAGGACTGGTAGACCCTCTACAGCACCTTGACATCATCCCGTCGCGCAAAGATGTCACGGTGAAGTGAGTAACGAATGCCGAAATTTCATCCGTTGCCCGTCGTTCGATCGCTGCCGCCTTCGCTTCTGCCTTGTAAGAAAGAAACACTTGAAGGGGACAAGCGTTGATCCGGAAGGTCACGTGACGTGAGCATATGGAGCCATGGCGCTGCGTCCGAATGATCGCACACGAGCTGCAGGATAACGTGGTGGCCTCAGCCGCTTGTCATAGGGCCATTCTCCTGCACTCTAGCGTCATCTACTAGGAGCAAGCAGCTCATTTCACGCAGCATTGACTGGCACCAACAAATCGCGCATGACGAAATCCAGCAGATTATTTCAGCTGGATGAACTACAGGTACAAGTTTCGACAGGATGCAATGCTTACGGCATTTGTCCAGACGTGAGCACGCACATACTGGCAGGCTGTGGACGTTCCGATGACTGCTGTGCAGGAGACGTCCATCTCAGCTACTCGCGGACAGGCAACAACGTATCAGCAGTCTGCAAAAGTCCGTGACTCCATTGACCAAAGCACACACATGTGACCCTAAGTATAAACGCGTCCGCAGTGGCAGCCTGATCTTGCACGTCTTCAGCATGATTGCAAAATTTCGTGTAGACTCGGCGGTCGAAGAAAGGACGCGCTATCCGACGGCTAGGATGCTTCGTCACTGGTATTTCCTTGCCGCCTCACGGGAAGGCTGTGCTAGCACGAGGTGGCATGCCACAATGTCCGTTAACAGACCCCCGACTGTAGAAACCTGCCGTGAATTCGTCCTAATTACAACGACGTCATGTTCCTTTGAAGTGGCGTCTGCCCTATGCTGCGGCCTGTACGCACCCTACGAAGATCCACCTCGCGCTGTCGTTCAAACACCATCTTTATTTGCGATCCAGCTGACATCGCCTTCAAGTTCTTGCGCTGAAAAAATGTAAGAAGTTGGTCGGTTCCGCCCGCCCATCTCCTCCTGGATCAGAAGTGGTCCAGTCCAATCCCATTGCGACACCTGCTGCAGCATGCGAGAAGATCTGGTGGAGCCAACAAGGCAAACGAACGAACCGACTTTCCCGACATTTTGCCTTCGTGCGGGTGTCCACCTCCCATCCTTCAGGAGTCCACTTTTTCCTGCGAAAAAACACTCGCTTTGGATGAAACCGCACGCAATCAGACATCGCTCGATCGATCGATTGATACGTAGGTAGATAGACAAACCAAGAACCCACCCGCCCCGACCGACAAACCACCAGTTTTCTGCTGCTCACTTCAGTAAAGCACGACCACCGAGTTCGTCGTTGTCGTTTGCAACCGGCTTTTGCCTTTTCGGTTCGAGGATCAATCGACATTGTCGTTGTATTGCGATTCCACGACACGCATGACAACCGCCTTGTAACTTGTCACACGAATATTCCCACCAAGTCGCAGCTTGGCATCCATCCATCCATTCATCCGTCCACCTACCTATTTCTCGCTTACTCACTCACTCGTGCGTGCCAAATCCATGCACTCGTCCGAGTCTTTTCGCGCCTCGTCGCGCTCGGTTCCACGACGACGCTGGGACCCTGACACGAGTGACGACCGCGGACGCAGCACCACCTTGTTCTCTTCTTCTTCTTCTTCATCTGTGAAAGACTTTAGCCAGGCGCTCCCCCAATACGCTGCAACAGAGAGGTACCGGCACCCCATGATGAGTCGGGACGTTGTTGCTGGTTTTCCTGCAGTAGATCATACAACACCTCGTCGCTGCTGGCCCTTGTGTGCGTGCAACTGCTCCATGCATGGACGTTATTTTCGTCGCACCTCTGTTCTGATCACTAACGACGTGGTTGGTTGTGTTATCTTTTCTCTTGTCTGCTTCTCTCTGTGCAGCTACAGAGACGTCGCCACCGGGGTACGACTATCCGCTCAATGACGAATCCATTGGCCCGTACGACTCGAGACCGTCGTCGTCGTCGTTATTGATGGATTATCGCAAAGGGGGAGGCACTCCACATGGATATCGAGCAAGTGACCAGGTCAACGTTCAAGCAGTACAGGACTCGCCTGCCGGAGATCATGATCGGACATCGAGAGCTTTCCAGATGGACTATGACCTTGAGCCCCAGCACAGTCAAACGGAGCTGCAACGCTTTTTGGAGTCGAGAGGATCGTACCGAGCCATGAGCGGTGTTCCACGACAAAGTGCTGGTCACCAGGAGCTCTACGCTCGAGAAATGAGGGGGAGAGAAGAACCACCGGACGATGTCCAATTATTTGACCACCCGACTCGACTCACAAGTCTTCCAAGGAGTCTGCCGTCCCCTTCGTTGCTGCCTTTTGGATCACTCTCGAGTGATGCAACGAGAGAAGTGCAAAGCCGACGCTACAGTGTCATGTCGCCCCCGACTGCGCACAGTTTTCGATTCGGGGAGCTGCGGTCGGACGAGATGCCGCTCGAACCTGCTACGGTAAATCTGTATCCAGTTGAAGCGTCAGGTGCTGGAGCGCCCGTGTCTCGACGACACGAGCTCACGCAGGAGCCGGATTTATCTCGACAGCGCGCGCATCACCCCATACTAAGAGGACCTCATTATGGCGAACATCCGGACAACAATGAGACAGTGCTGGCCGACAGACGACCATCGCTTGGTCCAGAGTTGTCTCGTGTCCGACTTGATACTGAAAGTCGACCAATGTACAAAGACATGGCTCTTGCGTCGTCCGCAAATACTCGTAGATCCCAGCACGACGACTACAGGAACCTCTTACCAAGTGGCGGTGCGCGTTCTATTGCCGGCTTGTCGTCGGAGCCACTACGACAACATAGTCGAGTCATTGCACGTCCGCAAACGGGCAAGCGACCACGACCACATGACCCATTCATGTATGCGCGTACAGAAGACTTGACTATGACACGGCAAAGACCGAGAGCCACGATGGCTTCTACTATCCTTCCTGCTGCTATTTCCGGTATTGCATCGCTCTACGGAAAAGAAGAGGAGACACAACCTAAGCGCCGCTGCGGTCGCAAGAGTATGAACTACTCATCCGAGCAAAAGCGCGAGCGCAATCGTGCAGCTGTGAAGAAGTGTCGACAGCGTCAGGCTCTGAAACTGGAATATCTACGGCATAAGGCCGAATCGCTGACAGCCGAGAACCATGCTCTCTCGGAGATGCTGCTCCAGGATGCAGAGTTGGACGAAGGACAGCGCGCTTCGTTGATGCGCGGTATTCAGATGGACATTTTGCTCAAACTTAAGGAGATTTTCACGCAGAGTCTGCCCAAAGATTTTGTGCTTGACGCAGACTCGATCTGGGATCTGGACTCGGTACTGACCGTATCGATGCCGTCGCGTTGCTACTATGGCGTCGAGAGCATCAAGGATTTCTGGCGAACTTCGTTGCGTATGCGCAACAAGGGCAAGATCCGTTCGTTCTGGGCGTGGCTGTTTCGTCTTCCACCAGGTGACCGCTTTTCAAAGTTTGAGATCCAGCCGTTTTCACCGACCTCGAATCTGTACTTTGTCTCGTGGACGACGAAATCAAGCCCGTCGTTGGCTGGATCGATGATAATCATGTTTGGTGATGGTCACCGCGTTACACTCCACGTCGAGTGCTTTGGCTGGCTCATTTGGCGGTACTTGCTTACGAACAAGCCGTTTCCGGATACATCGTTGGATTGATCGGCGCAGGAAAAACGCTCATCAACGAATTGGTGGCAGTATCAGCAAGAGCTACCGATCGTATCTGTGGAAAGTGAGGGCACACGCCATTTCACCGTCCAGATTGGAAGAGGTACAGACAGCGTCAGTTGCTTGAGCCATTGCGAGAGACTCTTGAGTGTTTTGCTGCACTAGTGCAAAGCAGGCTTATCGAATAAAGTGTTGGCGGCTTTCAAGCCGGAAGCGAAAAGGTTGTGATGTGATCTTCTTGTCTTCTGTAGCAGCTTCGTGAGCTGTCCAGCATCATGAACCGATGACAAGCGATGGCACAGGTACGCTTGTTCTGGCTCTGCTAGAATGACCTAGTGTAGAGGGAAGTACCAGATTCACTACTTCTCTTGCTAGCAACAGAGCTAGTTTTCATCTTTGTCGAGCAGCTTTTTTTCTAGTATACTTCTTGCTCAGCGCGTTGTGTACTTTCGTTTCTCAATCGAAGCTGTAGCAGCACAGGTGTTGCCTTTGCAACAAAGCCAGCCAAAGCGGCTGTCAGGTCTGACACATGCAAGGCAAGAGAATCCCTACCAGCAACGACCAGGGACTACTTCTAGCTCGTCTCGGCAAACTGCCGTGGACCGGTCGTGCTTGACTCCGATGTCATACCCGACTGCAGCAAACTTGTCGATCGCAAAGCGTATTGCCACAGGACTCACCGGAGAAAGAGATCTCTGATTGTTGCTCAGTGGCTACGCATGTGCCGATATTAATGATGACCACGGCATAACTTTGGTGAGGTACAACATTGACGACGTACGTTCTTTACCATAGACCTCACATAGACAACATCAATGCTGTGTTTGACAGTGTAACCTCAAGCCCGAATCAGCTGTCCGCCATCATGTGGGCATGGTCCAAGCACTGGAGACTTCCGTCGAGCGCCGCAGTGAGAAGCTGCTGCAAGCATTCGAGACTTTGGTCGAGTCCATGAATGTTGTTACCGTGCAATAGCCGTGCAAAGATCGGATGAAGTGTTGACAAATCCGCAGTGATGATCACTTGAAGTCAAGCACGACTGTACCGCAGTCATCCTGGTCTACGGAGTAGTCATACTTGACATCGAGTAAATCTCTCGGGGCAGTGAATTGGTGCTGCACGGATAGAGATGACCTCTATCCTCCTTTGCATTCCGACTTCTTCATCACCATCTCTTGTCTAAATCTTTTTCTTTGACAACATGATCAACATAGTTAAAAGCAGAGCCACTGTCGCTCAACGACGACGACCAGCACCTTGTGTTCTCGCCCTCATCTTTACTTCTCTTAACCACTTCAAATGTTCGCCACCGTTTCGAGACAACAGCATCGAAAAAAATAAAGAAACGATGCATTTTTATGCGTCAAAAGCCTCGTTCAACCCCTTCTAGGAACTTGTCACGTGACGTGGGACATGGAAAGAAACAGCTGCAGCTCTTTGGTGTCAGCAGCACGTTCGCCTTTCTTTTCATTTCTCTGGCTCTCCGTCTTTTTGCCGTTTCTCTTCCGATTGGCGTAAGGCTTTTGTCGCCCCCTATCCGAGTTCCTTGGAACCACCCGGCGACGTGCTTTTTTGTAGCCACTCGTTGTCTCCCACGCTTCGTCGTCGGAGCTGTCCATAAACGTCGCAATAGCTGCGAGCTGCGCGTTCTGCTGGAAATTGGACGGTAACTCGTCCATGAACAAAAGCGGCATCTCGTCTTCGCTCTCTGCACTCCCCCGGTCGTGCGCAGCAGTCTCCATGCCTGGAAAGTGGATCTGTAATAATGCAATATTAATCACTTTCCACTTTGAATAAAGCGGGATTTTTACCGATTCAGTCGACAATACAGCACCCGTCGTGCCAAAGTGAAAATGAACGCTGGATATTATTGCAGGAACGATGATATTCTCGAACTTAGTCACTTGCTAAGTTCGAAGGTGTGCTCTGAACCGCAGCCCTGAAGAGACCACTTCCAAGAGGCCACAGCAAAGCATTTTTCAGTTGCAGATTTGCTAATCACCACTGTTTAAACATGTAGGATATCGATCTACCACGAGATACGCACAACGAGGTTGAACACTGTTGTGGATCTGTTCCAAGCGGGCGAATTAGCGTCAATAGGTGTGTGTGTGTGTGTGTGTGAGTCTACCTACTTCCGCCCACGATGATGGTCTGCAGCCACATTTGTGGCGAGGTTCAATCACCCGCACACAATTCACGACACTTGCTACTGCTGTTGATAATGTCCAGCACTCGTCCTTACGCCTTGAGATCCAGAGAGTGGAGTCGCTTCTGTTTCTTCTTTCGCTTCTCCTTACGGCGTTGGTTGCGAGCCTTCTTTTGTGACTCGGAAAGATCCGAGACACGACCAACGTCGTCCACACCATCCGGCGACTCAAAGCCATCGCTCACTGTCGATGCTGATGACAGTGGGGCTTTGCTGACAGATTTCTTGCGGTTGCGTTTCTTCTTCTTGGCCTTCTGTTCCGCAGTCTCTACCACGTCCTTGGCTTCCTGTTCCACAGTCTCGACCATGTCCTTGGCCTCCTGTTCCACAGTCTCGACCATATCCTTGGCAGCAGCCAAAAGCGTAACCACCGACTTCTTCCTTTCTGTCATCTCCACCTTGAACGAGTGCTGGTCGTCCGAGTTGCTCGTGATAGTCACCGTCTTATCCACCACCGTCTTGGTTGGCGACAGTTGACTCATCACGTTCGTCTCAACGACAGTGGATCCGCTTGACATGGTCGTCGTCGTGGTCGTCGTAGTCGTCGTCGTCAAAGTCGTACTTGGCGTCCCCTCCTCAACCTTGACCTCCTCACTCGGTACCCCCTTTACATCATCTTCCTTCTCCATCTTCACCTCACCCTCACCCAGCTTCACCTCGGCCTGATACCCTGCTTTCTGTTTCTCCTCCTTCACTACCACCACCACCTCCTCTTCTGCTTTCGCCACCTCCTTCGCCTCGACTTTAACCGGCGTAGACTCGACGTCCAAGGCCTCCCTCTCCTCCACCTTCACGACCTTCTCCTCCTCCGCCGCCACCTTTGCTTCCTCTTTCTTCTCCTGCAGCTTCACCTCGTCCACCTTCACTTCACCATTTACCTTCTCGTCACCCTTGACCCCCTCCTCCTTCTTCGCTCTACCAGTTGTCTCCTTCTTCTCTTCACTCACCGCGTTATCCTTGATCACAGCTACCACAGCCGCGCCAATAGCAGCATCCTCCAGCACCTTCTTGCCTTCCTGAGCTCCTTTCGAGAGCTCGATCTTCTCCCCGTCCTTAGGCTTGACAGCTTCCTTCTTGTCCACCATCCCCTTCTTGCTGTCCTTCTTGTCCCCTCCCATTGGCTTTGCTTCCCCCGCGACCTTCTGCACCTTCTTGGCCGCCTTCAACCGCTTGTCCACCTGCAAGAACTCGCGCAGGAGTTTACTCATCACTCGCGGCTGCCTCCTCTTGAAGTAAAAGGCCGTCACACTCTGCATGAACGCATCCAGTCGAAGCTTGCGCTCCTCGGGCTTTGGCGAGTAGAACAAGCCGCTCTTGGGCGGGAAGTCAAACTTGAAACTACGCTCGGCGCTGCGGAGCTGCTCGAAGAAGGCATGGTACTTTCGGTACCGAATAGCCACTGTCCACGACACGTTCTCGAGCGTCACGACAGTCGTGTACGTGTGGAACGTCGAGTAGTCGAACCCTGTGACGCGCACCGAGAGCGTCGCGAGGGAAGTCATGCGAGCCGCAGCTTTGGAGGCTCGACGAAGATTCTGGAATGCGATCAGAGAGAGATGCGTGGCCCTCGGAAGGCCGGGGGTGGCCAGTCCAGTCGTTGACCTAGAAAGTCGGACTCGGGCGGGCGATCGACGACCGGATGGGCGGCTCGACTGACTGACTGACGGCCTGCCTGCCTGATGTATAGAAGGCGAGACCAGAGCTTGTCCGGTTTGCGTTCGCCGAATTTTTGAGCCTGAATCGGGTCGAGTTGGGTCGAAATTTGTCGAGCACACCCTCACCCGACGTCTATATGCTCTTCTTGCAGGCACAGACGTCATGTAGAGACGAGGGTAGGAGGAAGTGCCGCCACGTGCTTGAAGTTCGAGGTCAAACTTCCTTTGCGATGCCACGATCGTGGTGGAGCGACCGCTTTTTTGCACGATAGACGCGGATACGTGTTCACCACGTGGGGCGTGACTGCCGAGCTCAAGCTCGAGATCACCTGGTCGCAACAGGGTGCAACGTATGAACGACTGCAGCAATTTCGGGTGAGGTTGCCAGCGACGTTCGTTCCGGTTTCCTGCCCAGCTTCCTTCTACCCGATCGACGACCTGCTTCGTATGGACAGTTGAGCGTATCAAGTTTACGATCGATTGAAGAGTCAGGGCAGGTTCGAGGAGACAGCCAAAGCAGGTGCCACCGACTGCCAGCGCTTTGCCCGCGGGCGCAGACACTGCCGAACTGTTAGCGTGAGCGTGTCGGCGCATAGAGCTCGAGCAGCAAGAAGAGAAGCAGGAGGTGCGGCTGGCTGTGAGGAATATCAAGTCGTTGTCATGATTGTACTCGGACGCTTGGATTAGATGTTACATGTTACAAAAGAGCACGCTCACTCGAGACATTGTCGTTGCTGCTTGGTCACTACGGGAACGAGTAGCGAGACGGGCCGACACCGCAGATGCAGGTCCTAAAGAACACTGGGTGCCGGTAGCGCTCAAGACGCAGGTTCAGTTCCTGTTTGGCACGCAACAGCTCAGCTTTGACGGCACGCAACAGCTCAGCTTTCATTGCTTCGGCTCGAGCCTTCGCTTCCGCTTTCTCGCGTGCTTTTGCTGCCGCCGCTTCCGCTTTCTCGCGTGCTTTTGCCGCCGCCTCTTCTACGTCAGCTCTTGCTTTTGCTGCCGCCTCCTCTGCTTCTTGCTGCTTCTTCTTCGCAGCCGACTCTAGCTCCTCGTTTTCGACAGAGCCCGAACTAAAGGTGCTCAAGCGTCGAAACCATTTGACGACAGGGTATTCTGCTTCTGTTCTCTCACTGTGTGCATCGTGACTCTCTCGAGTACCCCCGTCCTCCCCCTTACCTGCTGACACAGCAGTAGACTCCTCGACGACAGTCGTAGTCGTCGTGCCTCGTGCCTTTCCAATATCAGCTCCAATAGACATCCCTGACGCAAGCCCAACCGTTTTAAATCTCACCTCGCTGGACCCGTTCGCAGAAAGAGCGCCGACCGGCTCTTCACTCGCAACTTCAACGTCAGCAGCGAATGGCTGCGGAGAGGAGCGGGGCTCGTCTTCCTGATTGCTCTCGAGAAAGCACTCGTCGTGCTCTTCGGAGCTGCCTTCGCTGGCCGTGCGGTCTTCGTCGTCGTTTTCCTTGACACCCAAATGTTCCGAGACCTGCAGTAGCTCGTCGAGTAGAGCTGCCATGCGTTTCGGGTGGCCTCGCATGTCAAAGTAGGCGAGCGTGCCCAAGAGGAACGCATCGAGCTGTTCCTGCCGCTCTTCGGGCGGCGGCGAAAAGAAGAGACCGGCTTTAGGAGGAAAGGCCACGGGGAAGTGTTTCTCGAGCGCCAAGAGACGCATGTAGAACTGGTAGAACGTAGTGTAGCGGATGTCGAGCGTCCAGGTGTGGGCGTCCGCGACTACTTCGGTCCTGTAGACGTGGAAAGTCGTGTAGGCGAACCCCTTCACGTGGGCCTCGATCTCCCGCATGGGACTACAGATAAACTATACCGCCTCCCGTCTCTGCTTGAGACGAAAGATATAAAAGTGAGCACTCACGTGGACAGTCGGTCCGTCAGTCGGTCGGTCTGTGGCCACCTGGACGATGTCGACGTTATGTCTGTGTGTGTGTTTGTTGGAAGGCGACCGAGCTCATTTTTACGCACAGGGTGACTAAACAGTGGCTCTGCGAGGAGGGATTGCACGACGCCACCCCTCTCTCGCTCGACCTCGACTTGGTAAAACAGAGCTCTACCATGCGTCGCTCGGGTCGTCCCATCACACCCGAGGGGACAAATCTCGAGAAGTGCCACTTGGACTTGCCCCGTGCTTAAGAAGCTGTTGTTGGCTCAAGAGCGAGCGAGCGATTCTCGCAACATTTCGAGGGCACGACGAGTAGGTAGCAGCTCTTTTACAGCAGGCATTAGCACTGCAGAGCAGCTTTTACTACAGCCACGTTCATTCCGGCCAGCTCTTTTTTATCCAGCAGTAGCTCGAAAGTTTGCGACAGCGATGGGTGAAGGACCGACCGATGACCCAGCGAGCGAGTGAGCGAGCGAACGAACCCAAAGCGGTCCCTTTCCCTGACGTCCGTTTTCTCGTTCAGCGAGGTCGAATATTCTCTCACGTCCTGCCGCTTGTTCTTGAATCAGACGATGCGTCGATAAGGTTGAAGCGATCTGATGAGCTCTGGACGTGATCATGGTCCGAGCGTGTTCTGAAAGTTGCGCGGCACCTTCGCCGAATGAGGAAGTGAGGCTAGAACAGGAATGCGGGAGCTGATCGGAAATTAATAAAAGGTGAAATAACTATACTGCCTCTGCAGGCTGCAAGGCTGCGAATGGAACACGATCACGTGCATCACCAATCCTGCGTCCGACTATCGACTTGGACTGACTGGCCTCGACTGCCCACCGAGTCGAATGTGGTCGAGTTTTAACAGCGACCTAGGACCACCGGTAGCAGCAATGCGACACAAAGTATCACCAGATTGGTCTTCTTCAGGCAGCGTTGTCGAATAAACAAGAGCACGGACTTGGGCAATTGAACAGTGAACCGTGAAGACACGCGGCTGCGAGCACCGAGTCCCTTCTCGTTCTTGTTCTCGTCGACGGCGACACGCTCGCTAGTTAACTGCTTGTCAACTGCCTGCTGCTTTGATTGCATCGATGTCTGTGCCGTGGACTCGGCAATCAACTGCTCGCTAGACTTCTCAGGTGTCGACGTCGTAGACTCCTGGGTGGCAACACACATCTCCTCCTCCTCCTCCTCCTCCTTGACTGCTTCATCTACAAGCTCCTGAACCGGCGATTGAAGCACAACGCAGTCAGTCTCGTCTTCCAGACAAGTTGGCTCAATGGTCGCCTCCGGAACCACCTCGTCTGCATCCGCTGCGTCGTGGACAACACAAACTTCCTCACGGTCGATCACAGGAGCCTCAGCTTGTGCCTGTGCTTCTTCAACATCAGCACGAGCTTCTCCACGGTCCTCCTCATCCGCGGGTGCCTCCTCTTCAACCTCTGCTTTGTCGTCACCTGCACAGTCTTGCACACACTCAGGTGTACCTGCTTTCACCTCTGCGTCGTCCACGACAGCCTCGTTCCCGTCACGGTCCTCTGCAATCACAGGTGTCTCCTCCCTTGCCTCAACCTCGTCAGAAACAGTAGCAGTAGACTCCTCACGGTCGCCAGTAACCGCTGCAGATGTCGCTTCTTGTGCTTCTTCTTCGTCGGCAGCACAAGCTTCCTCGTGGTTCTCCGCATCAGAAAGCACCTTTGCTTCGTCATCAACAACAGAAGCTTCGTCCTGCTCCTCTGTGGCAGCGGTTGTCTCTGCTTCGTCGCCTGCAGCAAGATCTTCCTCGTGTCCCTCTGCAATTGCAGGTGTATCCACTTGCGCCTCTGCTCCTTCATCAGCAGGAGAAGCTTCCTCACGGTCCTTTTCAACAACAAGTACCGCGCCTTGTGCCTCCTCATCGTCGTCATCGACACGATCCTCTTCTGTCTGCTCTGCAGCAGAAGAAGACTCCGTAGCGACGGCAGCAACTAGTGGCACTAGTTCAGCAGCAGCCACCACATCCTCTTTCTCCTTTTCATCAAGCGGTCCAGTGTCTCCTTCTTTCTGAGCCCCGATCCCTTCACTCGAAGCCACTAACTTGGTAGTCGTCAGCTCTACCTCTCCCTCATCCACAGTCTTCTCCTTAGCATCCGGCATGGGTTCATCCGGCAGACTCTCAGTACCAGTTGACCCGCCGTCGTCCTCGTGTTCCGGAGACCTCAAGTGACCGGGAACCTTGAGCAGGTCACACAGCAAGTTCTCAATCTCGAGCGGGTACCCCTTGGAAGCGTAGAACGCAAGTACGTGCTGCAAAAAGACCTCGAGCTGCTGTTGTCGCTCTTCTGGCTTGGGCGTGAAAAACAGCGTGCCTTTGGGTGGAAACTCCGCATCAAAGTCCTTCTCCAGCACCATCAGTTGGTCGTAGAAGCGGTGGAATTTGCTGTAGCGCAACCCAAGCCGCCAGCGATGCCCATCAACGTTCACCTCGGTTGTATACGCGTGGAACGACGAGCGGTAGTACCCCGAGATGTGAGCCGAGATGGCCTTCATCTTGTTCCCCTAGAGCCTGGACACGAAGCGGGTGACACGCAGATGGCGAATGATAAACTGGTCACGACACGACACGACACAGCGCAGCCGTTTTCGCGAGGGATGGGCGACGTCCTTTTTCGCCGCAAATCAGGACGAGGAATGGCCGGTCGGATTGTTTGCACGCACGGAAGAGCGAGTTCAAAAATGGACGACGCTTTCTTGCGACAGTGCAGACGGAAGTGTGGCATCTTTGCGGTAGACATGAGGAGAGTTCATGGGCGTGGACAACACGGGATGTCTACGTTTTTTTTAAATTTAAGGAGGCAAAGATGATGATGGCCGGCAAGTCGGTTGAGTATGGAGGAGATGTATCGGCCATGTCAAGGTGGAAGTACGTTGTTGTAGGACGTCGGCTCTGGCTGGTGTAGCTCCTCCTCTCGATCTCTATCTATGCGACAGACTGCCGTGAACGAGTCACGCTGTGGCGTCAGGGGATGATTCTATCTAAGGAAAAAAAGACCCAGCGAGGTGGCGTTCGGACGCGTCCCAAATTTGTGAAACAGCTGACCGGTAAAGTTTTCATCTGGATGTTGGTGTCGCATTGGATGCAGGACGCATTCGGGAAGCTCGTCACGTCCGGGTAACAAATGTGATGTGAATGGATCCATCTGTCTATCTTTTGGATGGATGTGGGTGCTGCAAACTGCTCATTTAGGTCGATGCAGGCCGACTCTTGGTCTGCGACCCGCATTGCTAAGTCGCTTACTACTATAGCTTAGGCAAACCTGCAGAAAACAATGCACAAGTGAGATGAACGGCATCCACGTCGGCAAATTTGTGTAGCGGAAGAAAGTCGCGGAAGAAAGTCCGCAAACTTTTGCGGCGGTTCATCATTTTTTCATGCTGGAACATCTCCTGGCATCCGCTTCAGACAGACCAGGCGGGAGCTGGTAAAGTCTGAGCAGTGCCTGCGTCGGCGACTTGAGCGTGGACAGCACCTTTGTACGGTATCTGATTGTAAGACAAAAGCGATATGTGGACACGAAGATCGAGACGACTTACAACAACGTGATGAGCCGTTCAAGCGCGCGGTAAAGGACCAGCCGGGCTACTTGTGAGGCGGTGGTCGCTCTTCGTATCAATTTATTGATCGTGGGTTGGCGTTGCAATATGTACAACCGCTGCGCGATAGCTTCGCTAGAGCTCGAGAAGAGGGCGTTGCTACCGGGGAATGTGCATGTCTCTTCATCCCATGTACATGCTCTTTTCTTCGTTTACGTTGTCATTGATGGCCGTCATTCTCACCGTAACCAGATGCCACGAGATACCAAGGTAGTGTCAGCAATGCCTTTGAGCGAGGTCAGAGCAACAGTTCACATCGATCGTTGTGACTAGTTAACTAGGCTCGTAGAGCGACATCTTTTCGCTAGCACCTTCCAGCTAGCCAATGAGGTCACCTTGGCAATAAACAATGCGTCGTGCAAGCAGCACTAACTATGGCGTCATGCTGGAGTCGTTCCGAGCACAACTTCTCGAGGTTGCCACCATCGGTACGGTCACTACTGGCGTCAGCCGTAAACGACCTCTCCACGTGCCCGCATCGCTACGCACGTGGAGGCACGACAATGGACTCCGCACGTTTGCAGATCACAAGAACGAATGCAGTGCAGCGACACATGATTCTTGTCCCTTCCTATGCGACGAGAGACGTGAAAGAGGCGAACGGAGTGTGCAATCATGGAAAGAAGGTGCCTTTATCGTGTGCGGACTTCACCGGACAAGTTAAAAAAGGCTAGTCCCTGAACGAGTCGACCGCCCGAAACGACGAGGAAGTTCACCTCGACTTGAGCTCACATAACGTGGATCCATCACAACCGGCAGGAAAATTAGTGTGTTGCCTCCGGCACAAAGTGTATATCGAAACGAGCTGCATGCACGTACTTGACCTCTAGCTAAAGAGATCGTAGACTGTCGGCAAACTGAAAGTGCTGTTGTGTCCTCGATGCCTCGACATGAATGCTTCTGTTAGAAATTACACAGCGTGAAAACTGCACGTTAACAAGTGCCGTCCAAAAGACCAGGAATGAGTCGAATCGATAGAACTGCTGAGCAAGCGACAACGTAGCGTCGGGTTCAACCTTTGGTCGATCTATATGAACATCTTGTTCGCACTTGCCACGTATGCCTGACGATAGTGCTTCGATGTAGGAAGTTGTCGGAAGTGCAGGATGCCCTGGTATGATCGAATCCAGAGCTTCGACCTATGCTGGAGTATGTGTGGAATGTGTTTAGGATTTTGTGCGTTGCATCAGGTCCTACACAGCTAGATGTATGGACAGTGCTTACTTGTAGATTGACAACCCACTACTGATGAGGGCCCCGCCGGGGGCCGAAACGCGTCTGGTGTGAATTGATGTACAAGTCGTTTGATCACTTGACTCTTGCTTTCTACAGAGGTACTGATCGATACATTCGTGCTTGACAACAGTCTGGATACGCGCATGTTTACAAAGTTTAGCTCTAACAAGGCGCAAAAAATGTGAGGTATACATCTACACATTTACCATCTTCCCCATGGTATGGATCCCTAATTCGACGGGGCATTATTGCGTGCGTGCAAGGAAAAGATGTAATGAAAAGAGAGGAATGAGCGTTAGAGCTTGCCCTTCCATGTAAGTAATTCAGTCCGCAGAACTGAATCAACTTCTGTATGCTATGTACTCAATGACGACGAGGAAATGGGTTGTGGCGTGTGTGTTTAATGAATGGGAGTGCTGGTGGATTTTGTGTATTGAAGCTGTTCGTTGGTGTTGTTGATTTCTGAACGCACGAATATGAAAAGAAAAACGTGGATGATCCTGCTCGGTAACGCCTTGAACAATAAAATGGGCCTACGGGACAAGATAAACTAATGATAGCTGGAAAATAAGTATGAGAGAGCTTCATCTTCTACCAAAAAAGACAATGATCATATCTCCCTGCTATCTCAGTATATCGTAAACCCAAGATGCAATCCACATCACACACCATGTTTGCGAAAGGCGGAAGACTTTCGTCGCTAGCATTTGCTTGTTAACCTTCTGTCCGCCCTTGCTTACATGTAGCCAATGTAACGGGGTGCCTCCGTTACATGATTCCTTACATAAGATAACTAGCAAGTATGACTATTACGGAAAAGCAAACGTTGTATGCTCCCAATATTAGCCTCACCAGTAATAGTGTGTGATGCAGAAGTAACACACTGCTCATTGGATTGAAAAAGGATCGAGATATCCATCACAAGGTTCAGCCGCGACAGAAGCACGCAATGAGTGGTGCGCGGATAGTTACAATACATTTTGTATTAAGATATAGCCAAAAGAAGTCAAATTGGGATTTATTAAAAGGATTAGCTTAACTAAAACGGTTCGACTTCTTACCTTTACTGAGTAATCTTAATCCGTATGGCAATATTCCTCTGCACTTACGTGTACGTGAGGTAGTCGGACACACACACCCTTGCACTAACAGCAGTGCAGAGTTTATTCAGTTAGGTGAATAAGGTGTGTCCCGTAACACCTGGTAGCACTTAGTAGTCCGTTCAACCACCATGGACATGTTAAACAATGAAAGGGATTATTTCATCCCACGCATGAAAGCCACTCCCACTTGATTCGAATAGAATGGGATGCCATCGAACGTTTGAGTTCGATGATAGGGCAAGAAGACGTTGGCGCAATGCTGCCAGCCCTAGAGCCAGACGAACATCACGTCACCGTCGCCAAGTTCATTCGGAATTAACTTGATGTCTATCGGGAAAAGGTAACCTTGCTTCGCCAACAAGAGTATCAACAGGCAGTGCGGTTGAGAAAGCATAGCGCTCAACAGTTCGAGCTGTTGAGACAGCAGCAGGCTGCTGCTACCAGATCGACACATACATACACGTCGACTCGATGCCTTAAAGATTGACTTCTCAGCGTACAAGGGATCCAATGAAGACTCTCTACTGCGATGGTTTGCTGAATCGATTGACGCTGTAAGAGATTGTAATATAGTCGATGAGAAAATGCAAGTCGCATTTGCTCAATCGAACTTGGCAGGACGTGCGAAGAGTTGAGCCTTGGGCTTTAAGTTACACGACCCATATGTCTTTGGGTCGTTGGAAGTCGTCAAGTATCTGCTTAGACAAACTTTTGAGCCGCCGCAAGCTAATTTCAGGGCTCGCTTTAAACTCCTGAAATTAAAACAAGGCAAACGTGGTGCACACTCGTATATTCATTACATATGGCATCTTACGAGTTGCATTACGGCAAATCCGCCGAATGAACAAATGTTGATTACGTTTTTCATACAGGGTACTACGGACGGTCCAGTAAGGACCTACGTCTTCCGACTGGAACTCTATACCCTGGAAGAGGTCATTCGTTTTGCGGAACAGAAAGATTCATGCGTGAAAAAGATCACGTAAGTTCAAATTCCTATCTTCCCCCGAGACAAAAGGAGAATGGAGGCCCAGAACGGATGGACCTCTGTTACGCTGAGAGTTAAAGGTCTCGCATTAACAGTTATTAGATTTGTAGACATGCAATAGATGTCAAAAGGCAGGGTATTATATATACGAATGTAGTGCTCGAACGCGGTACCACTTATCGCAGGAAACAGTAGCCGTCAAGCTACCAAGAATGGCCAGAGGCGTGGTCCGACGCTGTAGCTAAAACGCAACATTGTAACGGAAGACCAGAATTGGTAATTAGGTGTGACGCACCCTACTGATCCAGCAACGCCAAGTGAATTTGCAGGCCTCTTGACGAGAATTGCTCCCAACACCCAATCATTGCGTGTTACTACATCTAGTAGTGAGGTTTATCCAACTTAATGAGATTTACCTTATTACCTTGAAACTAGAAGTGACAAAGGACATGTCACCACGAGTCCTAGTCGATTTTGGGGTGTCGTAAAACTTTGTTCGATGCCAGCCGCTAAATGACAGCAAGCTTACATTCATTGAGCGCGAGATCCCTCCAACGAAGATGACGGTA